CTCACCTGACCCGCACTGCACCTGACCCAACCCATATTATCAAAATATGTTAATATTCTAGGAAAACTCATATCCACCCATTTAACTGACTTGAAGCTCTTCACATGTATATGTTACTTGGATAAAAACTTCACATCAAATTTATAAATAAATAAAAAAGCACATTAACAAAAAAAATAAGTACATAAAATAAAAAATGTAAAAAACCTATAAATTGAAATACTTATTAAAGAATTAGGGCCGACAAAATGGGTTCCATTTGTGATTCGGATTTAATGAGCCAAATTTCGTATAAGTAACTCGTTTTTTTCTAAATGGGTTGTAAATAAGTTGAGAAAAAAGAAAGTCCAAAAAAATAGATCGGAGTGACCCATGTTTTAACCTAGTTTCCAAAACCCACACCCTCTCAAACAAGTGACGTGGGTCTGATTCTATGAATAGTTCAAGATTTTCAAGGATCAAACCGAGGATCATAAGATCCTAAATTTATTGAAGCCGAAAGGTAGCTCAACACATTAACTCGTGCGGGCTCGATTCCTTCGACTCTCATGTCATAGAACATAACGATGGCTTCCTCGTTTATCTCATCATAAACATGGTCGACTATAATCGAGATTCAAGCGACTGCATTTCTCTCGGGTATAGAATCAAACACCTTCCGTTCGTCCTCCAAAAGCCCACACTTTCCGTACTAATCAATGAGGCTACTCGCCACAAAAACACATCCACCATGACCCATCTTCTCCACATATCCATGAAGCCCTTTCCCAAAGCCAATCCACATCAAAGTGCCACAAGCCTTCAACGCATTAGGGACCACGGAATTGTCCGGCAAAACACCATTTTTCCCGCATTCCGCAATATCCAATCAAAAGCCTCTTCACAGAGCCCCACTCTACAACGCAGTCCCAATGTTCAGCAAAGCAAAATTGCTCCGAGAAATTCGCAGAAGTCACAAATAAGGCAACCAAGGCAAAACTGAGCAAGTCCAATCTCTGTAAAACGCAGCACCCGGCTCACGGGCCACTGCTCCTCCACTTGCAGCATGGCGACCGCATCGCCCGAGGGGATTGCGCTTGCCGTGACAGCGTCCGATCGGGGACGGAGTCTCGCGGTGGCGGCGATGAGTGAAACCGAGAGATAATCATGATCGGAGGCGGAGGGACGGAAGAAGCGGAGAGAGGGGCGGCGAGATTCGTGGGCGAGAGAGAGGTGCTGCTTGGCCGTCTACAGAGGGAGAGAGCAGAGAGGAGGAAGGAGTGAGACTAGTTTCTCCTTTGTTGAAAGTTTGTTAATTAAATCCGTTAAAACTGATTTTTTTAGCCTTTTTTCTTTATAACCCATTTTGATCTTTATGACCTACTTCCTAAATATGAGTTAAGATATGGATTTGTAACCCATTTTGACAGCCTTAATATAAACCATAAATTTAGGAAGAACAAGACTTCCTTACACAACCACAAGTTATCAGCGACGATTAATTTTATCTGTTCAATAAGGAAAACAAAAGCTCGCACTTTGAGCTAAACAAGAAACGGCTAACTTTACCTCGGGATTTTTGAAAATTGCATTTTGGATCCACGAAAACCGTATTCTTGCTTTTCCCTTAGGCTAATTATAATTCTACATTTTATGATTTTGACTGTGTCTACCTGGAAATTTATGGGGAAAATGTGATAACATCAATGTATCAAGGAAATAAAGCACGTGATGAGAGAACTTTTCTTTTTTCTCTATGAGTGTTGGCTGTCCACATTTCGAACATAGAAAACCATTAAAAAAGGAAAAATACACAAAACTCCTCCGAATTTTGGATAGAATATACATCTGCTCTTAAACTTTCAATTGTTATAGTTATTAATCGGGGAAATTATTGAAAAAGTCATAAACCCATTGCACTTGTGCCAATACAGTTCTAAACCTTTCGATTTGGCCAATTTAATCGTAAACCTTTAGAATATTTGTCAATTGAGTCCTTCCGATTAGATATTGCTGACATGGATACCGGTCGTCTTACATGATATGGATAGCGCTAATGTAAACAATTTTTTGTAATCTTATAAAAAAAATTAAAATTTAAAATTTTCTTTTTCTTTTTTCTCTTTGCTTTTGTTTTTTTTTTTCATTATGCCAGCAAGGGTCATCTGCGACCCTTGTCGCAGCGAAGCTCTCCCCTAGATTGGGCGAGGGCTGCCTCGCTAGCGACCCCACTGGTCACGGTTGGGAAGGGCCTCGCCAGCCACAAAGAAAATTAAAATTTTAAAATTTTTAAAAATCAATTTTTAAAAAAATATTACAAAAATTGTTTATGTTAGCGCTAGTTGTGCCACGTAAGACTAACAACAGGTTTAGGACTAAATTGGTTAAATTGAAAGGTTTATGACTGAATTGATACAACTGCAATATGTTTAAGACTTTTTTGGTAATTTTCTTGTTATTAACCTTACGTTATATTTTCCATTGACATATGCAATGCACATGACTTTTAAGGAATAATTTTATATTTATATCTATTTTTTTTATAGAAATCTCTCTATTTTACCCTTGATTTCTATACAAAAAAATATTTAAAAAAAAGAATAAGTACCTAGAAGTCCTAAAACTTGTCACAAAAGTGCAATTAAGTCCTAAAATTTATAAAATGTGCAATCAAGCCATAAAAATTATTAAATTGGTGCAATCGAACCATTTTGTTAACTCTATTCAACTTGGCTAATGAAAAATGCTTTTTCTACGTGGCGATTAAGTGGTTAAAACTACATCGTTTGATCCAAATATAATTTTTAATACGAATTTTATTTAAATTAAAATAAAAAATAATCTAATTTAAAAAAGGGGTGAGAAACCAAGCGGAAGCCCTTGCTGCCACTGCCACCCCCACCATTGCCAAGAAGGGCCGGCGAGGGTGTGGGATGGCCGGCCAACTAATTTTTTTAAATTTACCTTATTTTTTAATTTTAGTTGAATAAAATTTGTATTAAAAATAAGATTTGAACCAAAACGATATCGTTTTAACCTTATGTTTCATATTTTAGCCACGTCATCGCCACGTAGGAGATAGTAAATATTTTAAAAGCCCACGTCAGCATTTTCTATTAGCAAAGTTGGACAGAGTTAATGGAAGAACTCAATTGCACCGATTTGATAAGTTGTAGAACTTAATTGCATTTTTTTTGTAAGTTTTAGACTCAGTTGCATTTTCGTGATAAATTTTAGGACTTCCAGTGCACTTATGCCAAAGAAAATTAGCTAAAATATTAATACCAAAAAAATAAATATCAATAATAATATTTTTAATAAATCTTATTGAAATTGGTGACAAGATTAATTTAATTAGTAAAATAAATTTTTTTAAAAAAGTACAATTTAGTAAAAAGAGAAAAATGCCACAACAACAAAAAGGTCAATTAACAAAAATTGTATTCTCATTGTGAATTTTGAAATCATTAATCAATGCAAAAAATGATGGATCAGTAAAAATGAGATTATCCATTTTTTTACGGTAGCTATGGGTAAAAGAGAGAGATTTTCTTCTAAAAATGAGATTAAAATATACTTTTGCGCTTTACAAGTCATATGCATCGCACATGCTTATGAAAAAAAAATAACGTAAGATTAATGATTGTTAGAAAATGAAATTTCAAGGGTCATTACGAAACAACTGAAATTAGGGAAAACATGTGAGGGGATTTGGTATAATTTCATCTTAAATAAATAACTGAGCCAAATTTAGCAAGATGGAATAATCAAGATCTAACATTTACAAGAACAGGCTCTCCCCAAAAAAAACTATTCAATAAAAAAAAAGTTAATCTTGTGGCTCCTCTAGTGGGCTCAGTTAGGCATATTATGTATATATGCATACACACACAAGGAGTAGGAAAATTATCAAAAAAATCTTAAACATATTGCAATTGTGCCAATTCAATCCTAAACTTATTTTTTTTTGTCAATTGAATCTTAAAATTTTTGTATTTGTGCCAATTCAGTCTATCCGCCCAATTTTGGCCGACCGGCGCTAACTTGGCACGACCGGCGCTGACGTAAACAATTTTCAATAATATTTTAATATTTTTTTTCGAATTTTTAATTATTATTTTTCTTTTTTTCTTTTTCTTTCCTTTTTTTTTCTCTTACTTCTTCCTCCGGCCGGTCGTTGGACCGACCACCAAAGGCGAAAGCCGGCGAGGTCGACCTCGTCTGCTCGTGGCGAGGCTCTCCTCGCCGTCACTGGGTGAGCTCAGAGGTCAAGCCTCGCTAGGGGTGGGTAAGGCTCGCCCTTGCCGGCCCTCACCTTTGGCCGGTCGGTCCGACAACCAACCAGAGGAAGAAGGAAGAGAAAAAAAAATGAAAGAGGAAGAAAAAAATCAAAAAAATATAAAAATGTTATTGAAACATTAAAAGTCACTAACTTATGTTGACTAGCTGAAGATATGTGCTTTGAATAAATTCAAAAATTCTTAGAAATCGTTGAGAAAAGATTGCATATTAATTGCATGAATAGAGAAATAGATAAAAAAACAAAAAGAATAACGGTTTTTTTTTAATGTTAATCAGAGTTCATCTCACTAAGGCTTAAGATTTTTTTCTTCGATTCCATGTCCTTTGCCAATCGCGATATAATTTCCTTCGAATCACAGTCATTGTATTGAACTGTTCAAATTCAACCTAAAGATTGATATATGGCGAGAGAGATGAAAATGAGAATAATTAAAAAATCTGAAATGAGAATATCAGGTAACCCCCAGTAAATTATATACATACTCACTCTACTGCAACCAAAAAATGAACAAGACATACCAGGGTGCTTTCCATTCCAGATCTAAAAAAAAGGAGTGACCATTTTGATGATTTTGCTATTCCTAAATGGACCTCATGATCTTGTTAATGCATAAATATGGGGGACCACGGATCACTGGTGACGGTGGCCTAATGGTACAAACTGATTTTTTTACAAACGCGGGGTCACAATGATAATCCATTAGCGATGGTAGTGCCTATATCTTGCCTTGCCCATGACGGGAGCTTTGGCATATTGGTATTGGATGACGAGACTTGCCTACCCGAGATAACTGGGTTGCGACTGGCATTGGATGACGACCTTCTTGCAATCTTAAATCAAAATACTTCATGGCAGGCGTGAGAATTTTACAATTACTCAACAGAGTAACAGAGCATAGTCTTACTGATTGCTCCTCTCGGCCTTTCCTTTAGAACAAAGAAAAAAAAATGTTCTCTGAGATGGTGGGAATTTAAACATAAATAAGATGAATTGTGAACTTTGACAAGGAAGTCAGATTTAAATGGATCGTAATCTGCAGGGTTCATGCAAATTTAGTTGTCATATTCGCCAATTCGAAAACCCCTGTTTAAATTCTAATTTTCCATATCTACAGTAGCTGTAAGAAAGCTTCCTCGTTTGACTCTGAATATAGACCTCGATAATTGACATCATGATACGGATTAATCTTTTAAAGCATGTCACAAAAAAAAAAAAAAAAAGTTTAGAGCATATCAGTACACCTACGAAAATTAATAGCTTTTTTTGCTTTTATTTTGTCAAGTTGCAAAAGATGAACATAAGCACATCAGTTACTTACCAAAAAAAAAAACATAAGCACATCAGTTGCCTACATCAAAAGTGTTTACATCTGATCCTCCTGAGAGATTTTGCCAAATAAAGATGACAGTGGGATATTCTGCAAAACAAGCACAGTTGAGAGAATTCAGGTCACTGAGCTAGGGCATAAGAAAAAAATATTTGGAAGAGAAAATAAAACAAACGCTGAAATTGCAGAAAAATATCAATATAAGAGCAACAATTCTTCATGATTCTCATGCAAAGCATAACGCATTTCCATAAGTAGAATATTTGGGCATCAAACAAAGTTCAAGATATATTATCAATCCAGACAGGCACATCCACTCATCACAATTCCAGCACTGTGAGCAAGTCCATTTAAGTATTATATGTCTAGCTGGTTTGTAGCAAATTATGTGAAGCTTGTCCATGGAAAAACATGAACTTTCTAGCATCGAGTTGAGGATTCGTAATAAAAAAGGATCCTGAAGAAGCAGCAGTAGCTAAATGACAAGTGAGGAAGAAAGAAAGAAGTCCGAACCATTACCTGAAGAATTAAAATTGGACATGGTAGAGAAATCTTCTTATTGAATCCGAACTCAATCAACTGCCCATAGTCGCCATTGAGTTTTGAGCATTGATCTTTCAGAATTTCACATTGCATTATGCCGAATACTTGGAGGTGGCAGCGAAGCCATCCTCTGGCAAGTACCGGTAACCTCTAAAAGATAGCTGTTTGAGAGAGGAAAGATGGCTACGAAGACCATTTGATAATCTTTCCACGTTCCTCATATTTCTCATCCAAAGAGAAATTAGAGACGAAGGAAACAGAATATTCCATGCTTCTTGCATCCTCCACCGTTGATAGTCTTTCCACAGTCCTCATATTTCTCATCCAAAAGTCTGAAACAGGATAAGCAATTACTCGTGAATAAAAATTATCTTTCTTGCATGATAAACAACTAGAAGAGTGATCAGAACAAAATTATGCGCACACCTAATTGACTGCAACAAAAAATGAACCAGGATACACTGTTGATGATTTCTTTTTTGCTGGAAAACTATTATGATTATGTTAACTAACAAGTATGGGAGACCACTAATCACTGGTGATGGAGACGTATTGGTACAGGCTGATATTCTACAAATGTGAGGTCAGGAGATCGAATGACTTGGTACGGGCTGATAATGCTTAAGAATGTTTGCCTACACCTGTTGGTATATCTGGAACGCTCAAAATGCAATAACCTTTAAACATAAATCACTTGATCCTGAAACTGTCAATACACAGATTAGAAAAGCTCTTTTAGACTGTATTGCCTATAAAAAATTTAAGAGAACTAAGTCATGATTGGGTGGACGAAAGGCAGATTCTGTAGAGTAAACCTGAGCTAGGTTTTGTGAAGATTAACTGTGACGGGAGCTCTGGCAGCTTGGTGGGGATATAATGACGAGAATTGCCTAATCGAGTTAAGTGGGTTGCGAGTGGAATTGGATGACGACCTTCTTGCAATTTTAAATTAAAATACTTGTGGCAGACGTGAGAATTTTAGGATTACTCAACCGAGCAACAAAGCATAGTCTCCCTGATTGCTTTTCGCCGCCTTTCCTTTAGAACAAAGAAAAAGAAAATGTTCTCTGAGATGGTGTGAGAATATAAATAGAAGAAAGACGAATTGTGAACTTTAACAAGAAGGTCAGATTTGAATAGATTATAATCTGCAGGGTTTATTGAAATTTAGTTGTCATATTTGCCAACTTGAAAACCCGTTTTAGATCCTATTTTTGCATCTTTACAATAGATGCTATTGAAAGTAAGAAAGTTTCTTAATTTGGCTTTGAATATAGACATCGATAATCAACATCATGATACAGATTAATATTATTTAGAGCATGTCACCAAAACAAAAATTAGAGCATATCGGTGCAGCTACCAAAATTAATAGCTTTTTTTTTCTTTTGTCAAGTTGCAAAAGATGAACATAAGCACATCAGTTGCCTACCTCAACAGTGTTTGCATTTGATCCTCCCGAGAGATTTTGCCAAATACAGATGACAGTGGGATATTCTGCAAAACAAGCACAGTTGAGAGAATTCAGGTCAATGAGCTAGGGCATAAGAAATAGATATTTGGAAGAGAAAATACAGCAAATGCCGAAATTGCAGAACGATATCAATATAAGAGCAACAATTTTTCATGATTCTAACGCAAAGCATAGTGCATTTCTATTTACAAATTCTTCATGTGTCATCCAAGTGCAAAGATAAGCAATTTTTGGCCATCACTTGAAGTTCTAGATATATAATCACTTGCTGTACCACGTTAGCATTATAACCATTTCTTTGTGTACTTCCTTGGTAAACAAAACAGAGAAACCCAAATGTCAACGTTGGACCTTCAGCAGCTGGTTTGTGGACATTTATGCGAAGCATGTCCATGGAAAAACATAAACTTTTTAGCATTGAGTTGAGGAAGTGGAATGGAAATGGATCCTGGAGCAGCAGCAGAAGCTAAATGACAGGTGTAAAAGAAAGAAAGAAGTCCGAATCATTACCTGAAGAACAAAACTTTGACAGTGGAGAGATATCTTCTTGTTGGATCCAAATTAGATCAATCACGATGAGTGGGATTTCTTGGATGAGGTGCCAGTAGTCGCCGGCGAGAGAGGATCCATCCTTCGAAATCTCACATTGAATTATGCGGAATACTTTGAGGGAGGGAGGGAAGCCATCCTCTAGAAAGTACCCAAACTTCGAGCAACTTAAAAAATATAACTGTTTGAGAGAGGGGAGATGGCCGTGAAGACCACTTGATAGTCTTTCTACTCATATTTCTCATCCAGAGAGAGGTTAGAGAGGAAGGAAACAGAAGACTCCAAGCATCATACATCCTCCACCATTGATACTCTTTCCGCATTCCCCATAGTTCTCATCCAAAAATCTGGAAAGGACAATCAATTAGTCCTGAACAACAATTACCTTTCATGAGCAATGAACAACTATAAGAGTGATCAGACATAGATATTTATATGGATACCCACTCGACAACAACCAAAAATGAACAAACAAGACAAGAACAGGGATACTTTGCTTTCTTATTGTCAAGAATTAGTGACCCTTTTGATGGTTTTTCCTTTGGCTGAAAAACTCTTATGATTATGTTAACCCACACGTATGGGAGACCACTAATCACCGGTGATGTTGACTTATTGGTACCAGCTGATATTCTACAAATGTGAGGTCAGGAGATCGAAGGACTTGGTACGGGCTGATAATGCTTAAGAATGATTGCCTACACCTGTTGTTATATCTGGAACACTTGAAATGCAGTAAATTTTAACCATAAATCACCTGATCCTGAAACTGTCACCTTTACAGATTAGAAAAGCTCTTTTAGTCTATCTTGCCTGTAAAAATGCAAGAGAGCTAAGTCATGATTGGGTGGATGAAAGGCAGAGTGTGTAGACTGTAGAGTAATCCTGAGCTAGGTTTTGTGAAGATTAACCGTGATGGTTCTTACATTGAAGGAACCAAACATGCTGTTGTTAGGATTGTGGCCAGAAATGAAACAGGGGAGATGATTGCCTGCAGGGGTGTGGTGGTGCAAGCAAGATCTGCAAAGGAGGCTGAATTACTTGCTGTTTGAAAGAGCATTGCAGTAGCCAAAGAAAAAGCTGAACCAAGGTAGTGGTGGAGCTGGATGCAGCTGTTGTATTACAAGGATATCATCAACTTTCCCAAGCAGTGCAATTAAAGACTAAAGGACGCTCTTGCTGGGATTCAAGCAGCTAAAGATCATTTTGCAGCTACTGCATTTTAGTTGTATTTCACGAAAAGCAAATGTTTTGTGCCCATTGGGTAGCTTTGCCAAAATTGGGATCTACATCCGCATCCCCCCATCCTTCTTATCACATTTGCTTATTTCAACCGTGCTGGCCACCCCAAAAGAAGAAGAAGAAGAACAAGCCAGCCCAACGAGGAGGACACACGACACACCCAAAGGTCAGTCTCCGACCTTCAGTGGCTGGTCTCTGGAAATTCTATGCGAAACATCTCCACGGGAAAAAAATCAATCCGTATTAAGCATCGAATTGAAGAACATAATGGAAATCGATGCCTTCAAAACCGAAAACTTACCGGAACCCTGGAAAACTGACTTGTACATGGAAGAATCAATTCATAGGATATGAACGTCATCAATGAGGATGCTCGGGATCTCCTGGATGAGGGGCCAATAGTGGCCAGTGAGTTTTGAGCATCCATCTTTCAGACTCTCGCATCTTGCTATCCACAATTGTTGGAGGGAGGCAGGGAGGCCATCCTCTGGCAAGTACCTCAACTTCGGGCAATTAAAAATCCCTAAATGTGTGAGAGAGGGGAGATGGTTGTGAAGACCGCTCGATAATCTTTCCACCTTCCTCATATTGTTAATGTAAAGCCAGGTTAGAGAGGAAGGGAAGAGAAGACTCCAGGCATCCTCCTCGTCCTCCTTCTCTTCCGAAGGAAACCCCACCTTCTCTCCCTCCCCTCCCTTGCTCAAGTCAATGTTCAGTCTCTTGAGGGATGTGAGGAGGGGTAAGCCCCATCCTCTCAATGGCTGCTTCAGATTCTCGCACCCTCCAATTGTAAGGGACCGCAAATTGGGAGGGAAACCTCCTTTGGGGAAGCATTTGATATTTGGGCAATTGAAAATAATTAGCCACCGGAGGAATGTAAGATGATGCCACTGATTTGGTAGAGATTTTATCTTCGGACACTTAATGAGCCAGAATAATGACAAGGTGTTGGGAAGGGGAGGGAAGTCCTCTATCTCCAATACTGGACAATCTCTTATTTTCAATTGAGTGAGATGGGAGAGCATGTGAAAGCACTGTGGTAAGCTTCTCAGATTCTTACACCAGGCAATAGTCAAAGATTCTAGCGATTCTACGGCGATCTCTTCCAGCAATTTCACTCCCTCGCATTTTTCAATTATAAGTGTCTTCAGAGTAGCAAGTTGAGGCATCGGGTTATTGCTGGTGGGGTCATCTAGAGAAATGTTTAATCCCATGAGTTTTGGACACTTCTCAATTAACAAATTTCTAAGGGTGTGCATCTTGCTTGGAAGCTTTTCTACACTCATGCAATCCCTCAATTCCATCCTTTCGAGGTTACACGGCAGCTCTATCTCTCCTTCTCCTGCCACAAAAGATGTGAATTGAGAACAGCTTTCAATGACTACTCTTCGAAGGCAAGTAAGATTTCGCATTTCATTTCCATCCTGCCACAAGTATGTTAGCTTATCACACCGTTCTATGTGAAGCTCCTTTAACTCGACCAAGCAGCTCATAAACCCATGATCAAAGCAAACAAACCCTGCAAGATTCCCAATTCCAAGAACGATTAAAGAAGTTAGGTTCACCAAGATCTTTAAAATCTCTTTATTACAATCCTCAAGGTATAACTCACGGAGAGATGGAAGGCAAACCATATTGGTTGAGAGATTCAAATGTAGGCATGAACGGATTCCAAGCTTTATTAGATGATCAAGTTGACAAGGCAATGTCCCTACCAATAAAGGACAGCTCTGGACAACAAGATGCTGAAGACGGGAGAATGAGACTTCTTCTTCCAGGCTCCCGGCATAAGGAAACCAATCCTTCCATGCCAACATCTCTTTGAACTTCAAAGTTATTAAGGATGAGAAAGGTCTTTTACCTCCATAAAATTCAGAGCCTATCATTCTTACTACATGTAGACGTTCAAGAGATAATTCTTTAAGTAAAGGTAGTTGTCCAAGTGGGGGCAGTGATATAACATTAGGACAGCCCCGCAAGCACAAAGACACTAATTTAGAATAGGATGGACCATCAAACCACGATGGAAATGTTAAACCACCATAGTACGAGATAGTGAGATTTTCAAGATTAGTGTGAGGTTGCAGAGAGTGAAACACTTGTCCTTCACACTTATCATTCCGCAAATTTCCAAAATCTTTACCCCAATGCAAGAATAAGTTGCTAAGGCCATGCTTTCCAGACAAATTAGCATCAACTACATCCCTGACTTCTTCCACCTTTTGCAATTCCGTTATGAACAATTCTCCTTGAAGATGTGGCAAACTCTTTAAGTCCTTCAACTGGGACCCTTTTTCTGTTCCTATCACATACTTGGACTAGACAATTAGATTCTTCAAATTACTAATACTCAATTGCATCTCTTTTATACTCCATGTATCTCTAATGTCCAGAAACCGTAAGCTGACCAATTTTGTAATACCTGGAGGAAACATAGAAAACTTTTGACAACCTCTTAAGATCAAAGCTTGCAATTTGCACAATGCGCCGATTGACTCGGGTAGCGTTTCGATATCAGTGTAAGAGAAATTAAGATATGGAAGATGTTTTAACTCACCAATACAATTCGGTACCTCTATGATGGAACAATGACATAGTGAGAACACCCTCAAGTACTTCAATTTTGTTAGCAAGTCATACAACACCTTGTTGGCAATATAGAGTTTTTTTTAATTCCCGGCTAAATCCAACATGTAGTAGCATTAAGCTTCTTAGTACCTTCATTCCATCACATGCTCTCAAGCACCTTGATGTAACAAGATGTGGCAAGATCAATGATGCATAACGAGCTTTCTCCTTAAGAGAGGCATCGCCTTCATCACCCACTAGCTGAGATTCCCCAGAGGTAACGCACGTTGCACCTGCAATTGACTTTGCTAGGTCATTTAAAAGACCGTGCATCGAAAACTTCAATGTGTCAACACTTGATTGTTGAAGAAATTGTCTGGATACTAACTCATCGAAGTAATTCCGTCCTAATCTCAAGATATTCTCCTTTGCTTTTTGTCCATCTAAAAAGCCCTCCGCTATCCATAAGAGGACTAGCTCATCCCTCTCAATTTCATAATCATTGGGAAATACCGCACAATAAGCAAAACATCTCTTCAAATAAGAAGGAAGATGGACATAACTTAATCTCAAAACTGGGAGAATCTCATCATTTTTTCCTATCGGAAGATCCCATATTTCGTTATTTAAGATAGCTACCCATTCATTGAGATGCCCTTTATTTCGTAGGAGACGGCCTAATATCTTCGTTGCTCAAGGTAAATCTTTACATTTTTCAGCTATTTTTTGCCCTATTGTTTCAAGTTGTGGGTGCCCCTCAAGATTTGTGTCTCCAAGAGCATGAAAGCCTAATAAGCTTGTACAATTATCAAGGGACAACTCCTTCAAAGGATACGGTGAAGCTCTTGTTAGGGAAACAACAGAAATGTTGCGAGTTGTGACGATGATCTGGCTTCCCTTAGCCCCCGCTTCGAATGGCTTTAACAGGTCAGTCCATTCTCCATACTTCTCATTCCAGACATCGTCTAAAACCACAAGAAACTTCTTCCCGGACAGATTATCCTTCAACTTAACTTGAAGCCAGTTAAGATCTTTGCCCTCGCAGGACAACCCGGCAATTGTCTGTAAAATAGTCTTCGTTATGTCGAGAACATAAAAAACATCCGAAACACAAACCCATGCTCTCCTCTCAAAACATCTATTCACTCTAGGATCATCATACAGCCATTGGCCGTCTTTCCAACACTGCCCATCCCAACTATGGGGACTATGCTCAGCATGGTATCGCCATTTTCGACTTCACCGGTCAATAGTTCGAGCATCTGTGCTTCCTCTTTCTCTCTGCCAAAAAAGCAAGGCTCCGGCAGAGAAGTGCTGGGGCTCCTTTTGTTGCTGCAATCAGATTTGTACACAACATTCTCTTTTAAGCTTAGAAAAGCCTTCCTGGTGACAATCTCTTCCAACCTGTCATTGATCTCCTGTATCTCGTTTTGGGACACGAGCGAGCACAGGTTTGGATTCGATCTAGAGGATTTATATAGGCCAAAGAACGAGAACTTCCTTTTCACCTGACCTCTACTTGTGCTAGATTCCGCCTCCGACTTGGCCTGAGCAGCTTCGATCGCGAACTCATCGAGCAAGTCTTCCATGTCATAGGCCAAATCCCTAACATCATCCAACCACAGCTTCACTGGATGGTTACCACTCAGTTGCTTGTCCTCTGCATCATTTAGTACTGCATTGATTGTGTCTAGCATCCTCTTCCACTTATTGAGTAGGACGGTGTTGATTCCTTTCCTTTGTGCATAGTCCAATCCCAGAGAAACCAACTTGTTGAGCAAGACCTGAAAAAAAAGAACCCAAAACAATCTCCCCAATGGCCATAGTTGAATTAGTCACCTTGAAGAACAACAAGAGTTATGATGAAGCAAAGCGACAATGAGCCAATGGAGAGAGAAAAATATGAAGTGCTGAAAGACCTAGACTTTCACCTACCAAAGAGATTAAACGAAGACCAGGACTTTCGAGGATGCTTTCTGTCCACAAGTGCTTGTTTCGTTTTTTTTTTGCTTGTCCACAAGTGCTTGTTTCGTTATCTTTAGAGAATAGAGACTTTACTAGAACGCATGTGCTTTTTTGTCTGGAAAGTGAAGCAAAAGTGAAAAAGTGCTAACGGGAAAGAAACTTTAAGAGATTCCGGGAAGACCAAGATTTTGCAGGACGTAAATTGGAGTTGTTGCTTCACTTTTCACATCCCTCTTCTTCCATCCCTATGTGAATGTCTTTTTTTCTATTACCAATGGAACTTCCACTCGTTACGCGAGATCTAATTTGTTTTGTTTGATTGAAATATTATTTGTTCTCTTGCTGAAAATTAACAGTACTATAATTTTCATCCAACTCTTTTCACGTTTAGGGTGCATTCGTTTTACGGAAAATAAATGATTTGAAATTGTTTTTTGAAAAATGATTGCTTATATCGTTTAGAAAAATTAGTCAACAGCAAATATCTTCATCATCGATAATAATCTATGCCTAATTATTTCCGTGGACAATGAAAAAATTTTCCTTTCATTTATTTTTCTAAATGATATAAGCGATCATTTTTTGAAAAATATTTTTCAAATAACTTATTTTCCGTGAAACGAACGCACCCATGTGATTTTTCATTTATGTATCTCTATTGTATCTCTCTGTAACAATTATGTATAGATTTTTCATTAGAGCTGTCAAAATGGGTCACTAACCCATATTTTAACTCATATTTATTAAAGTGGGTTATAAATAGGTGAGCTCAATTTTGTTTTATGGTCCAAGATGAGTTTTGAAAAGAAAAGTCCAAAATAAATGGGTCTATTATGAATCCATGAAGGCCCGGTTAGCTCGAAGCTCCAAATCTTCAACACGTGAAATCAGGATTCAAAATTCATGTAGACAGTAATTATAAAACAGCATTCACTACTCCGTTTGGTTACTATGAATGGAATGTAATGTCTTTTGGTTTAAAAAAATGCACCTTTAGAATTTCAAAATATAATAATGATATATTTGAGAACTATGTCACTTTTTCAATAGTGTATATAGATGATATATTAATATTTGCAAAATCTTTAGAAGCATTTTGAGTATTTCACTATTTTTATATTATTATTAAGAATAATAGATTAGTATTTTTAGCAGCAAATATGAAATTATCGCAAACTACACGTCAGATTTTTAGGACTTGATATATGAACTATGTCACTTAGCATGCTAGTTACTCCACGACTTAATCACTTTGTTTTCCAATAGCTTCAAACTTGTAACTGTATTTTGATGTCCTCTATGTGTTCAACTTTCTCCTGACATCCCGATAATTTGCCAATCTTATTAATTAGTACCTTCGTCGACATCGTTAACCTTAAGTCATCGTATATCAACAACTAATCAATAGTAATCACCGATGTACGTCAATATTGATACCGATCCTTGTGGGCATCGACAATGGGTTAAGTACTTGATAATATTCGAACGCTTTAGTTATATATCTACCCCATATTGATAACCTGATCACTTTTTGGTGCAAACGTAAAGGGAAGTGATTGGGAGAGCAATCTGGATGTGAAGTGAAGAGCTTAATCTTTTTTAAAAAAGAAATGGCCAAAGAAGTGCACGATGCAGCGGAGAGATATGGACATATATTGTCAATATTTGCGGCTGAAGAGAAGACATTGGCACATCCGGCACATGATCATAAAGGACTATGTCTTCAGCAAGATTGCAGTGGGAGAAGGGGAGAGAAATTCAGAGCAAAGGCAGAAACAAGGGCTGTCACACTAAGAAGATTCAATCAAGATTGCAGCAACTCCCATCAAAGATCCTGATTTTTTCATTACCATAAAGTTCTCATCACCCATTGATTGTGAAGGTTTTTCGCTGGACCTCATCCGTTACACGCCATCATCTCTCATCCGCAGCTGGGGACGACCCCTCTCAATTTCACGCCCATCTCATCTTTCTATCTGAGCAAAATAAGGACACGCGAACGAGAGTGGAGCCTCCTGTGATAATGAACTCATTCAGTCCCCGAAAGCTTATCAGCGTGTCGTCGCCCACGACACCGAAATTGGAAAAGTACTAAAAAAGTCATAAACATATTACATTAATGTCAATTCAGTTCTTAACATTTCAATTGGACCAATTTAATTCTAAACCGTTTGCATTTGTGCCAATTGAGTCCGTCCAGCTAATTTTGACCGGAAGTCGCTGATGTGGACGTCAGCTATCCTACGTGGCTTGGGCGGCACTGACATAGACATTATTAATAATAATATTTTAATAAAATTTTGAATTTTTTATGATTGTTTTGTTTTATCTTTTTTTTTGGGGCGGCTGAGGACCGGCAAGGGTCACCAGTACTAGGCGAGTGCTCATTGTGGCCGGGATGGGCCTGGGCAAGGGCCACCATGCCCTCGCCAGCAATCATGAGGGCCGCAACACCTAGATCAGGAGAGGGTGTTGCGGCCCTCACTTGGAGCCGATGAGGGTTAGCTGGCGACCCTTACCGGCCCTCAGCCCCAAAAACAATAAAGAGAAGAAAAGAAAAAATACTATAAAAAATTCAAAATACTATTATAATATTATTTTAAAAATGTCCACGTCAGTGTCGATCGTGCCACATAGACGGCTGGCGTCCACGCCAATGATTTCTAGTCAAAATTGGCCGAATTGACTCAATTGGCACAAATGCACTAAATCGATTCAATTGAAAGGTTTAGGATTAAATTAAAACTAATGTTAGAATAATTAATTATTAAAACACGTTTTCATATAACAGCTTACACTTAGTCTGGTCTTTTTTTTGCCTAAAACTAAGCGCAGGCATATTTAATTAGGGAGGCAAATGTGATCCGAAAAGATTTGAACTCACAACTTCCAACTCTAATACTATGTGAGATTTAGTGTAAGCATTGCCAACAATTCTAAAAGCTTAAGCAATTAGATGAAAATATATTTTAATATTTAATTATTCTAACAGCTAATACAATAGGTTTGTGACTTTTTTTTTTACTTTCCCCGCACCGAAACACTCCATACTTGACCACCCGCCTAGGTGGCGCTGCTGGAGCGCGCACTCTTCCTCTCGCAAAAGGTTGAGTGTTCGAATCTCGGGCGCCGCAGGGTGACTTAACCGGTGGCACGTGTGTGGTGGCTAGCACGTGTCGCCCCCAGGGTTTACTCCCCGGCTGTCGGCCGTGCGAGGGTTCCCTGGGTTATCACAAAAAAAAAAAAAACACTCCATACTTGACGAAGGCCATAAGTGCATTCGTGGAGGAAGATTGAAGAAGAAGATTGACAATCTCGAGCGCGGTACTGATCGCTCACATTCCGAGATCTTCAAGGACGTCGAGACCTCTCACCATTGACGCACAGGTAAAAATAAAACTTTTGGTTAGATCATTACGTGTTCAGAAACCCGCCTCATGTCTTGGAGCCTTAATTATTCTCGGTGTCTACGTGCAAACTTCTGTTATCCATTGTCGCCAAATTTGTACTGCATACGCATAGTCTTTGCATGGTCCGGTAATATGTAGTACAAAGCAAGGTATTATGTGGGGAACCGTCTTGAAGTATACATGATATTGCGTGATGTCCCTGTTAGAGTGTTTGAATAAAACCCATGTTCGGTTCATATTGGGAGTAGTCGCTATTCTTGCATATTGCTCTTATTGCTATTTACTCGAGACTCCCTCCTAAAGCATAACCATTACTTGACGAATTTAAAAAAGAAAAATTAAAAACTAGGCCCACGTTGGGGCCTGGTACATGGGCCGACATGGCCCGTCATTGTCACAGGCGGTGCTGGCCGGAGCACGGGAATTCCCTTTGCCATGCTACGGGCCCATAAAAGTGCCGGGCCTTGTGGCAAATGTTGACAAATGTTGACACCTGATTTTTTGTTCATATTTCAAATTTATATAAAAATCACAAAATTAGGATTAGGAGCCTTGGCCATGCTTAAGAACCTATTTCTAAACCAAAAATAAATTTTTTAGAATTTTTCCTTATTTTATTTTGGCCAAAATGAGTGAAAATTCAAGAAAAATACCAAATAGAATTAAAAAAATTCCATAAAAATAACTATTAGTTTTATTTTAATTCCAATTTCATCACTAAAGTTTCAATTTTGGAAAATTTCAGTTATGGATATGTTTTTCCCAAAATTGGGTAATTTCATACCTCAATTGAGCCAAAAATTCAATTAAATCATTTTTAGTCATTTTTAGGTCATAGTGTCTTCACAAAAATTGATTCTGGGACCATGAATTGTATATTGGTCAGTCCAATTTCATAATTTAATGAAGGAATTGAAAAGCCCCAAAAAATTAATTGAAAATTAGGGATTTTAAGACCTAAATTGGGGATCTTATTCAATTTGAAATTTTCGATCGACACCCATACCTTCCCTAGGGTTAATTAGTCATGGGTAATTCAATTTTGGCTTCAATTTGACTCAATTAGACCATTTGAACACTGAATTGAACAAAAATCCTATTGATCCGAATCCAAATTTGGGAATTTTTTGGTCTAGTTGTGACAAAAATTGGTACAAATCTCATATCTTGTTGCAAAATGTACAAAGGAATCCAATTTTGGGGATAAAATTACAAAATTGGGATGAACTGAGGCTTAATTTGCAAAATTGTACTAACCCGGGTCTGCCGAGTCGGTCGGATCCGACCCGACCCGACCTTGGTTGGCCTTCTTCCTTACCCGATTCTGGGCATACACAAGGAATGCTAGAAAAATATCTTTTCAGGCCCGCCATTCACCGACCTTAATCCCATTACAAGCACGTGAGAAATGCAGATATGATAGTTGGAGAATCTCCAACTGTCATCAGTTATCCATTGTAACAAACTCGAAGGTCAGTTGGAGCGAAAAAAGGCGGGAAATCGAGCTAAAAATCTAGCTGGAAGGAAGCTGCTGGGCATAGAAGGTGCTCGACGAAAATCCTGAGAGGGAGAGAGAGAAAGATTAAGAGAGAAGGGAGTAGAAGTCCCCTTGATTGAGTGACCGGCGCCGACCGACGGAACGGCGCCGGCGAATCGATCGGTAAAGGAGGACCTCCTCCCCAGGTGATCAGCGCAAGGTTGGTCACGAAGACCTGAAATCGAGTCTCGTTCATACAATCTAGGACCTTCCCGACGAAGCGGAGGTCATCAGCTTTGAGAGCAGGTGTCAAGGAATCACTCTACGGTTGCCATTTGGTTCAGAATTTCAGAATCAAGCTCCGGCGAAGAAGGTTAAATTTGTTCACAATCACCTATAACATGTTTGACAAAAATCCAGAATAGGCACCCGAGTTCCATCATGTTTGATCATGTGATTTTCTTTATGGTTTTGAGATTATTGATGCTTAAAACATGTTTCTGACTATACGTTTCATTGTTTGTTGCATCTTGGATCAGATTATGCATAAACCGTGGGTCGGCCTTTGTAAACCCCTCCTTTGCCGAAATATCCAACCTCACCGGAGCCCTTTTCCATGGCCAATGGCCATTCAAGTTAGTGTTTCTGATCTTCTTTGATCATTATGATCGTTGTTTGATCGACAAAAACGGCTAGGACGTTTAGTTAGATAAACTGAATGCTTGAAATGCTTGTTAGAATAGTTTCAATGTTAGGTTTTTAGGTTCGGTTTTCGCCGGTCGGCGTTTGTCTGGCGGTAGTTTGGTGAAGCTAGGTGGTTAGAGGGAGTGTGATAGTTGATCTAGGAACTGAGGAAGTGGCCGGAAAGCTATTGGAAGGTCGTCGGAAAACGATTCAAAGTTACGGCCTTGAGAACTTGAGAATGAGTATCATGCACACCATATGTTCGTAAAAATGTCCCAAAGAGAAAGAGGGAAACGGCGCCGTTTTTGGCATCGTTCCCGCCAAAGCATCGGCCGACGCCAGCCAAGCCGGTACAACTTGATCGGACCGGTCAGAACCGGTTCAGTCCGGTTCGTCCTCCGGCAGGAAAATAAAAAAATTAAAATAAAAAATCATAAAAAATTAGAAATAAAAAATTTCAGAAAATCATAAAAAAAATTCGAAAAAATTCGAAAATTCATAAAAAAAATAGAAAATTCAGATAAATCCTAAAAAATCAGAAAAATTAGGAAAAATCATAAAAAAAGAAAATTCAGAAAATTTCTAAAAAATAGAAAAAATCATAAAAATTTCAGAAAATTCATAAAAAATTTGAAAATTCTAGAAAATCCATAAAAATTGAAAAATAAAAAATTCAAAAAAAATTTCCAGAAGATAAAAAATCTGTTTTCGGGAAAGCAAAAATTCTTAGAAAAACTTTTTTCAAAAACAAAATTCAAAAATTTCAAAAATTTCAAAAATTCACAAAATGGATTAGAATGCCTATGGCCACCCATTTTGAGTGAAATTTATATTTTTTGAGATGCCCAAGTAGTATTTTTAAAGACTCCTTGTTTTAGGGATTAAAAGGGGTTTTAACCCCTAAAAAACCCTAAAAGGGGTTTAACCTCCAAAATGGGTCTTTATCCCTAAAAAACCCTAAGACAACACAATTCATTGAATGAACAAGCATTTAGGGCTTTACTAGGGTTTGGGTGATTTGATTAATTTTCATTTTAGAGATCATTTTAGGATTGTTGTGTTTGATTGAAATTGATTGCGCATTTCCTTATTGATTGTCTGATTTCTCCCGATTAGAATGGCTAGAATTAGTGGATAGACCTTACGAACTCGCATAACATGTTTAGACACATTGGATCGTTTTAGGTACCGAAAGAGTGTTAGAGATATCAATTTGGGATCATAAGCGTAACCAAGTCCCCTTACCCATGTAATCTCTGGTTTGCAGAAATCGTGGTATTTCTCTCATACCTCGATTAGGTTTCTCCCATACCTCGTTCGTCTAGTGATGGGATGTGAGATGTTTGGGCGAAATATCCATTTTGGACCCTAGTAGCTCATTCGGGGATAGTTTCCTCATTCATGACAAACGAAAATACCTCCTTAGCGTGCGAAAGCGTGGCGTGACAGGCAGGCCCGTGGCCATTACTAATTACGACACTTCTTAAGCAAGACATTTCTTTTATTTTTGGTGGGTGCAATGAAAAGTGGGCACATAATGGGTTCGACCAAACATGCCTGTAAGGATGCTGAGATCCTGCACGTCTTCAACTTGTGAAGGAGGTTGGTTCACAGGAAGGGAAGATTCAAGGTATAAAATACATATGTTGATTGGATGGGCAGATGCTGAGAATTTGTGGCATTTGTGGCTCTTCTTCTTCAACAACAAGAAATCCAGTGTATCTAATTCTATTTTGACCAAAAAAGTAATAATAGAAAAACATCGTATCTAATGGCATCATGAACTGGCTTCGCAAGGACTCACAAAGAGACATTTCTTTTTTTGTTTTCTTTTTCATTACTCAATTATTTAAATCAAAGGCCCAAAAGAATTCTCCTTACAATGAATCTACCTTTAATTTTCCGTACAAACGTTTGCTTCTCGGAAATTTCGCTTCGTTCACTTTAAATTTCGGTCAATCAGTATCTTTTTATGAGTTGAGGGTACCATTTTCCCTTTGGGTTAATACTACAAGAATCTCAAACTGATACACTTATGACAAATTTACCTCAAATTAATAATTTGACCACAAAAAACCGAAACGGTATACATGTCAAAAATTTACACCCAACTAATTTTTTGACTACCAAAAACTATAAACTAGTACATTTATGATAAATTTACCATCCGTTAAATTAAATTAATTTCACGAAAATTCACAAACTAGTACACATGTGACGAACGGAGGGTAAAACCCCAAACTAGTACACCCGTCAACTATCACGTGTCATCCAACTTAGAATTTTGACCGTAAAATTTAACGGAAACTAACGGAGGGTAAAATTATCACATGTGTACCGATTTGAGATTTTTGGTGGTCAAAAAATTAATTTTTGGTAAATTTATTATATGTGTACCAGTTTGGGGTTTTTTATAGTATTAACCCTTTCCTTTACAACTCTTTTCGGATATTTTTCTTAATCGATTTCATCACGTGATTAAGCATTTAGATGATAAACCAAAATTTGTCATTTCACCTTTTTGTTATTGAGATGTTTCACTTTTTATTTAATTTGTGACTTTTCCATATCATTTTTTGATAGAGATCTCTCATTTACTCTTGACTTTTATAAAAAAAATGAAAATTATAAAGAACGTGGAGTAAAATAAATTAACTAAAATAAAACTATTAGAAAAATGTATACCAATAATATTGTTTTATTAAAAATTATTAATATGTGAAAATATTAATAGAACTAATAACATATTTTAAGAAAAAGAGCTACGATTTAGTAAAAAGGAAAATGCCTTGACAATAAAAAGGTCAAATGACAAAAATTTGGATACTCATAGTGTACTTTTAGATCGTTAATTAATGCGAAAAATGACTTGATCACTAGAAAATATTTAGAAAATCACTTATTGGTTAATCATTTCCTTTCATGAGCTGAGGTTATCATGTTCTTTTATAGCTTTTCTTTTTAAATTGTTTTGTCAATCAAGTTTAGTTACATCAATCAACTCCATGAATTTGCACAATGACTAAACAAATCTAGTCGTTTTACCTTTTTTTTCTATTAAGGCCTTATAATATTTTTAAAATATCTTTTTAAATTAATTAATGGTGCTATAATCAGATTTTGTTTCATATAATTATCGATATTTGTTTTTCTATAATTAGTATTTAGTTAATTTATTTTCCTTCATTTTCTGTATTTTTCAATTGTATAGCATTAGATGTAATTGAGAGATTTCCTTCCAAATATTAGATGAAAAATATACTTGTACACCTTACAAGTCATGTGCATTGACATACTAACAAAAATAAAATAACGCAGGGTTAAGGACAGTAATAGAATGAAATTCTAGGGTATTGTTTAACAATTGAAAGTTTGGGGGTTAAACGTGTACTACCCTCAAAATTCAGGAAGAGTTTGTGTAATTTCTCCTTAAAAAACACAACTAAACACCAAATTTAGCGGGATGGAATAATATTTATGTAGTATTCTTGCCCTTCAAAGAGGTATGCACTACAAAAACATCAGGCTCTAGCCCAAATTTAGCTTGATGGAATAATGATTATGTAGTATTCTTGCCCTTCAAATAGGTATGCATGCACTACATCAGGCTCTACCCCATAAAATTATTCAATGAAGACAATTCAACATTGTGGCTCATACATGCACACATACACAAGGAGTTGATAGACATTATCCAGCTATTGTCATTGAACTAAGCAAGAAAGTTTGCTAGATGGAATAATAAGTTACATTCTGGCACTTCCATCGATATGCACTATAAACACATCAGGCTCTACCAAAAAGTTTATTAAATAAAAGAACATTAAACCTAGTGACTCATCTACGGGCATAATGAGGTATATATATGCATGTTTAAACGTATTTACATACGTATGTTTCTGGTATACCAGGGAATTGAAAGACATTATCCAGCTATTATACCCATTTTATATTAGTGGTTGATGGATGATTCCCATAGGTTCAAGGATTGGCCAGAGAACTTTTTGTGGAGCTCTTTCGGCTTTTTGGATTTGACACATAAGTATGCCACCAAATTGGACAAGTGTAGACATTTCCATGTCCCTAAATCTTTCTAATCTCTAAAAGTGACAAAAAAGCACAACGGGTGATGCACCTTCCCCTTGTCCTGTTGAAATCCACTAATCGATGTGTGACCACCATAATTGATGAGGCCACATTCACATTGTTAATTTGTATATGAAATTAGAAAGGAGCCATCAAATTAATTCGATCCACAAGAACCATATCGCTTTCGATATGTTTTTGTTTTCGACATGCGACAACACCGATGCAATGAAATCAATTCCGCTGGATTCTTTACTCTATATGGAGTTCTCTTTTGGACTCATTGGGGAATAAAACGAACTCCGATGATTCCAGATTCCATGTATGCCGAAATGTCTTCTTATGTTTCTCTAAATTGGAAATCGCGAGTCCTTACTTTGTATGGACGAATAATAAAAGGAAAATGACATAAACAATCCATGAACTTTGGCCCAATATGCATTACGGTCTCTGAACTTTAAATTTGATCAATGCGGTCCCTGGACTTTAACTCAATGTGCAATGTAATTCCTGAACTTTTAATTTGTTCAACATCATCCCTGAACTTTCGGTACATGTTTAATTTAGTTCCTGAACTATATGAAAATGCTCACCGTGGTTCCTGAACTTGAATTAATGGAATAATACATTAAACATTTTTATATAGTTCGAAGATTATATTGAATATGTTCCGAAAGTTCATGAACCATATTAAACAAAGTAAAAGTTCGGGAACTACACTGAACATCAGGTTAAAGTTCAAGGACTATATTGAACAAATAAAAAATCTAAGGACCGCGTTGCAAATTGAGCTAAAGTTCGGAAATTGTTGGTGTCATTGGTTTGGGTGATGGCCAAATGTGGAAAAGAAGCTCCAATTATCTGCCAGCAATGGTGAGTTAGTGAGCGAGCCAGCCGCTCGTGGGCTGCAAAAGGCAGGTAATTTCGTTAGGGAGGCAGGACAGCCGGAGCTAACGTTGTCCTGGCCTCCCTCCCCCAACCTTCTCTCTCTCGATCTTTTTCCTTTTCTTGGATTCTTTCGCCATCATTATATTCCCCGAAAACCAGTGAATTAATAAAGAAAATAAACCGAAAACCACCTTGTTCTAGGAGACCAATCTCTCTCTCTCTCTGCTGTGTCTTTTCTGTTCTCCTCTATCGTTCGTCTGTTTAAATTTGGGCAGTGTTTCATCCACAAATCTCTCCCCCCTTCTCTCTCTCTCGTCCGCCTTGAAATTTTCCCTTCCCTTTTGGCCTCCGTCTCGTTCATTCATTCATTCATTCTTCTTCTTCTGGTGTTTCTTCATCTGGGTCTGGGGGGTTTGGTTCAAGAGCTGACGAGAAATGAGGTCATGGCGTGAATGGGTCTGGTCCTCCGTCGTGGCTTCTAACTCTCGAAAGCTTCTCTTTTGACGCCCGCCCAACGACCCTTCCGCCTTTCTGACTTCTCCTCCTGCCGCAGACAGGTTCAAAGTCAACTTTTCCGTCTCTCTCTCTCTCTCTCTCTCTCTCTCTCTCTCTCTCTCTCGCGCGCGCGCTCGTTGGACTGTTCATTCCCGGTCGTGCTTATGATGGGTCTCGCATGCGTGTCTGTTCAGGCTTCGATCTCGGCGGCCTTCGGTCGCGTTTAAAGGTTGAATTTTTTAATTATTCTATCGTCTTTGGGGAATAATTCTGGTTCCTTGGTCTCAATCGCGTGAGGGTTGGATCATGGGTCTCTTTCGACGTGTTTACTTTTATTTTCTGCTGGTTGTTTTTTTTATAATTACTATTCAAATTCGATGAAATTCTAGTCCGTGAAAAACTAGTGACGATCCGAGGTTCGGAGCTGCGGAAAAGTCTATTGTATTTGTTTTCTTACGGTCCTGCAGGGGGGGAATTCTGAAGAATGTTATTTTGGACCATTGCATTGTCAATTTTGGAGGGTGTTTGATTTAAAAATGAAGAATCAAGAATCAGAATCAGCATACGAATAGGAATGCAATTAGGACTTGAATTTTCTGTTTTTCTGCTATAAGTTGCCGTCTCGTTTCGTCCCAGTTCTTTACTCTTTTGAACTCTAGTAATTTTATCTCTGTGTTGGTATAGATCGTTGGATTTTTGGAGGATCTTGATCTCGGAATTCGATCTTAATAAAAGGGTTTCGACAGTTTTGGGTTGAAATTCGTTTCTGGGTTAGAGCTTTTGTTGGGTATCGGCTGGCTCAGTTGTCGATGGATTCGGCGAAAACGGCTGATTCGGGTGGAGCAAGAACCCCGGAGTCGGCGGGTTCAAAGATTAAGGGCTCGGGGAATTTGAGCAGCAAGGACATGTTTTTGAGGGCTGACAAGTTTGATCTGAGGAGTCTGGACATTCAATTGGAGAAGCATCTGAGCAGGGTCTGGTCAAGAAGCGTCATGGAGAACCAGAGGCCTAAGGAAGAGTGGGAGATCGATTTGGCCAAATTGAATATCAGATATGTTGTGGCTCAGGGGACTTACGGCACTGTGTACAGGGGCACTTATGATGATCAAGATGTTGCAGGTACATCATCATCATCATAATCAGTTCTTCATCTGTCCATCACCTTCTTTCACTAATTAAGCATTGCTTTGATGCACCTATTTCGTGGCCACAAATTTTTCCGGCTATTTAGGACGTGAGACCGACTTGTCGACTTTGTTGCTGTTTGTTTGTGTTGAGTCTTGTTTCGGCATGGGTTTTGCATGATTTACAAGTTGCGAATGACATGAATATAAGTGTGTAATTTGCTATTTGCAGTGTCTGTCGTCTATTATGATTTGTGACATTGAACAGTTTCTTGCATTTGGTTTTATGTAACTGTTCTTCCACATGCCATCTTGATATGGTATCATCATGTTATCAATTGATGATCTCGTTCCGGGTCTATATTAAAAGATTGACAAGACAATAAAACTTGATTGATAAGTACCATGTCACCACCTAACGTGTTTGTAATGATTAAAATATAGACCTTCCTATGTTTGAGCTGCTTTCTATACTTTGATGCCTCTTGTGTGTTGTGCTGGAGTTTTGCGTTATTTTGGGCTATGGTACTCGATTTTAGTACTATTGATCATGTGAGTCCTTTTCCCTTACCACCATGCCGTTTTGGGTGTCGTAGTGAAGTTGTTGGACTGGGGCGAGGATGGTCTTAACACGGCAGCTGAAACTGCTGCCTTGCGGGCATCGTTTCAGCAAGAGGTTGCTGTTTGGCACAAGCTTGACCATCCTAATGTCACAAAAGTACATAACTCTTAGCCTTTACCTTGTATCTTTCATTTTACAAAGTAATTCTGGTGACATCAGACTGAATGAACAGATGATGTTGCAAAAGCCTAAATTTCAGATACCTGTTTACCATGATACATTTGAAAATCTAATCTGTAGCATAGAAGCATCTGTTGCTTTAAATGATTGTAATAATTACCCCATTGGATGCAGTTTGTTGGAGCTTCAATGGGAACTGCGAATCTTAAAATTCCTGCAAAGACCGCTTCTGGTGAGGCTTCTGAATCTCATCCAACTAGAGCATGTTGTGTTGTTGTGGAGTATCTCCAAGGAGGGACTCTAAAACAATACCTGATACGGAATAGCCGCAAGAAACTTGCCTTCAAGGTTGTCATCCAGCTGGCATTAGATCTCTCAAGAGGGTGAGTGTTGGCATTCTTTTTCCATCCTTCATGCTTCAAAAATATCGAAATAGAGATCTCTCCAGGGGGCGACTTATATCATTCTTTCCCATCAAACCTTGCTTAGACTATCTTTAAAAAAGACTCTTGAGAAATGAGTATATAAAAATGTTGGTTTGCAGTCTGAGCTATCTTCATTCGAAGAAGATCGTGCATCGAGATGTCAAGACGGAAAACATGTTGCTAGATTCTAGCAGGAGTCTAAAAATCGCCGATTTTGGAGTCGCACGTGTCGAAGCTCAAAATCCAAGAGATATGACCGGTGAAACTGGAACCCTTGGTTATATGGCTCCGGAGGTATTTACTTCATCAAATTTTGTTGAAACTTTACGAGACCACTAGCATAGCACTTGGCATTGCCGATATAAAATTTATTGATGAGTGAGATATTATACCTGATGTAGGTTCTTGATGGCAAGCCTTATAATCGAAGTTGCGATGTCTACAGCTTCGGCATTTGTTTATGGGAAATTTATTGTTGTGATATGCCATATCCAAATCTAAGTTTTGCCGATGTCTCATCCGCAGTAGTTTTGCAGGTTGGTTCTCTAAAATTTCGACATTTGCACTCTTGCATGTTCAATAAAAATATATGTTGACTTGTGAAATCCCTTGGATAAGCTGTTTAGCTGTCATTTTTTGTTGTTGTTTGAACCCACCAGCATTGTAGATAAAATGGCAAGTCTTTTAGTTTCTGTGCATTTTAATTCAATCCACAACATTCGACTAAAATTGCTTTCGGTTTTGTGTTCAATAGAACCTGCGACCGGATATTCCTCGATGTTGCCCTAGCGCTCTGGCAAATATCATGCGCAGATGTTGGGACACAAACCCAGACAAACGTCCGGAGATGGATGAGGTGGTTCGTTTGTTGGAGGCGATCGACACCAGCAAAGGCGGAGGGATGATTCCCGAAGACCAGGCTCACGGTGGCTGCTTCTGTTTCCGTCCGGTTCGTGGTCCTTGATTTTTTTTTCCCCCTCAATTTTAGAGAATCAAAAAGGCGGAATTGTGAAGATCCCATTCTCATTTTGTGTTAAATTAGGTTATCACTCCTTTAACCATTTGTAGTTCAGTTGAATTAGGTCGAAAGGGGGGCTTGATGAGTAGTTGTGCTTTTTAGAGAGCTAAAACCGTGCAAGCTATATTACTCTGTCCTATTTAGATTTTATTTAAACGAGCGAATCATTCTTACCACAACTTTCTCCTTTACGGTTCTCTTCTCGCTTAGATTCTAAGCTAAACAACAAAGCTGCCCTTGTTCGTTTTGTGTCAATCTTATGTTGTTGTGTAAAGATAGCTTGTTGAATAATATAGAGGACCTTTTGCTCGAGGTTCGGTCGGTAACATCTTGCCGCGAAGGGGGCTACAATCCTGCAGGAGCGATACCGATAAGCAGAACGGAGTTCAAGCGGGCGTGAGCGGAGGAGCGGGCGATTCTATCGGGTTCGAATATAAGTGGTGTGTAGTGGACGGAGGGCTTGTTTAGGCAGTACGAAAATGATTCGATGGAATACGTAGAGTGAGACGTGAGTGGTCAAATCTGCGGTTGATAGGTTGGGTGCGTTTAGTTCGGCTTTTGGGGAAAGCTTTTGAGGGAAATGCAAGGCCTTCAGACTAAAGGGGTCTTACGAGGACACTAGTATCATATGCCGTGAAGACATAGGTAAATGTGGGCTACTCTTTGTCGATGAAAAGGTTAGGAGAGGAGGGTCCGACCTTCCCTAACGAGCACCAAAGCATAGCTCTTTTTCGACGTCCGGTGAGACCGGAACGACCCGGATCCGACACCGATTCCGAGTTAACTCGTCCGATGTAGCGATCCTCCCTAAACGAATCCCTCGGCACGGACATCCGTTAGTAAGCTTAAATTGGCCTAACTGCGTACGTACAAATTTACAATCTCATTGAAATCAAAGCGTGCTGTTCGTCCTGTTTGGAGAAATTCTGAAGCGTGCAGAATTGTTCTGCCTCATCAAACTCCGTAGTTTGCGAAGAAAGTCAGGGGGAGTATATGTCTCATTGAATACTAGTTTCCTCTTGAGATCCCCCTTCATTTAGGAGCACTTCTCGGTCATTTATTTTTTCCTGCAAGTACCCTTAATTAGCAATTATACAAAGATTGTGTTAATTGACGAAAATTCGTGAGTTCGTGATTTTTATCTTAACTCTCGTATTTTTGCGGATTAATATCACGAAAAATCTCATACTGATACACCTGTGACAAATTTACCACAAACTAATTTTTTGGCTATCAAAAACCCCAAATTGGTATACTTGTGACAAATTTACCCTCCGTTAGTTTCCGTTAAATTTTACCGTCAAATTACTGAGTTGGACGACGCGTGGCAGTTGACGATGTGTACCGGTTTAGGGTTTTAACCTCCATTTGTCACGGGTGTACCGGTTTGTGATTTTTCGTGGTATTAATCTAATTTAACGGAAACTAACGGATGATAAATTGATCACAAATCTACCAGTTTAGGGTAAATTTATCACAGCTCTACCGATTTGGAGTTTTTCATGATATTAACTCTACTTTTTAATACTAAAATTTGGATATCTTCTGTCACGTAACAATATCTCTAAAAAGATCTCAAATCTCAGAATATTTTCTATTTCCGCACATATAATTTTCTTCGTATCGTGCACTTTTATCAATAATAATTGTTTTTGATTATTTGAATATTTATATCTATGAAACAAAGTGATTTTGCTTGTTCTTTAAAATATAAAATTCTTGCGCGCACTCAACGCATATCGTGAAGAAAATGAACCAACAATTCCCATTAGCGGTGAAGAGCTATTCTTACGGGCTTAATTTTTCGTGTTTCTTGAAAAGCAAACAATAACGCTATGCTTTCTTGTTAAATTTAAGAAAAAGTTATTTAACTTCAAAAAAATTACGAAAATAATAATCAACGAATCCACCCGTCAACAAACATATCATGAAAGCTTCGGATATTTCGCGTCATAAAAAAATGTCAAAATGTATCTGATGTGACATTTAAATAGAAAAGTAAAACGTAAAAATCTATCCATATATATCCTTAATAAAAAAATGGTTATTCCTTAAGAATGTCCAATGAATAATCTATGCAATCAGAATTAGGTTCATTCCCTTGGACCATCTCTAGTGATGGGTTTTGCTATTGAGGACATAATGATATCATTATAGTCAGATTAATAGAGTTTTGATAAGGAAAGGAAATCTAAATTAGTTTTTAAGCGTATTTAAAAAACGGCAATAGCAACCGATGCAAGAGCCAGCGCGCTTGGGAACGCACTGTAGCCTTCGGGTCAACTTGGAATTTGCCGGCTCCTCCGCTTAATTTGGCTTCGTTGCGCCCTGAATCAATCAAAGTCGATCCTCTCGAGGTAGGGCGAAGACCAGGAGAGCCGGAAAACCCAACGGGAAGTGTGATGGAATATTCGATTTTCTTTTTATATCTTGAGACTCAATTTCTTCTATCGTGCTTATTTCTTTTTGTTTTCCACAAAAATAAAATCTTTAAAATGAGTACTTTAACTCCTTTTTTTTTTCTATTCCGCTTCTATCGCTTGTTTGGGTTTATAACCAATTGAAACAATCAAATAATACGTCATCATCAGATGATTGTATTGTATCCTGCTAACAATAGAAAGAGAGCTACCGTGTTCAAATTAGTCCATCTATTTTTTTCTTCACAAAGCCGCTACACCATGCCGTCGCCGCGTCTCTTCAGCTCATCTCTCTTGGTTGCACGCCATCCATCAACGAGGGGAGGCGCCACAGCTCTTGCCATTGGTCGAGAGTTTGGTGCGACCATCTCCGGCCATCGAGTGTGGTGGTTCGGCATGAAAATTCAAAAGCATCCCTGCATTAGGGTCCGAAATCTCCGACCGCGGTGGCGGCAAGTTCACTTTTCTCCTTATCATCTAAGCTCATGCTTCTACTACTGTTCTATTCTTCGAGAGAAACAATAAGAAAGGGAAAATCAGGTAAATTTTAAGGGTGGCGCATGATTTAATACGGCTCTTTAACCTTGTCTATTTATCAATTTGCATGCATCTAGTGATTTTTTTTTATTGTAAAAAGTGTAGTTCTTCTTTGTAACTTTAGTCAAATCACTCTTTTGCCCATAAATATGCAAAAAATTTAAAATAATAAAATAAACATAGAAAAATGACAAGAATGGTGCTGATCCTTACAAAGTATCAGGACATGATGCTGATGTTGATGATGATGAGTGCAGAAAAACTAAGCATAGATATGCATATTCTGGCATATAAAAATAATATATTGATAACAACAAAATAAATCCTTTTTATTAAAATAGTTGTCTTCGTTTTTTCAAATTTTTTTTTATTTGATTACCAGTTTTCTATTATGAAACTATTTATCTTGTTTTTGTATTACCCTAATTAAGAAACCGCTCCTAGCGAAGTTGGTACTATTCGCCATAGCCATAAAAGTTGTTCCATTTATTCGCGTCACGGAAATTATTTGTCTCTAATTGAAAGACGGCTCAATTTGATTCCCCCCCTATTTTTCTAGCATTCTAAGATTCTCTTTAATCAGTCTTTCTTTCCTTTTTTTTCTTTTCTTTTTTCTTTCGTTTGCATAATCTTGTTGGGTTGTGCCGAAAAAACAATCGCGCGTACTTATTCAATGATCCATTTAAACTGCTAACTACTAGTTGAAATATGGAGAATAAATTAATTTCTTTTTTATATTTCTATGATTATTTTAATTGCTTGGGATAATAAAATTGAAATGTTTTTAGCAAGTCAACCATATCATCGTTACTGACCTAAAAAAAAGCCATATCATTGTTGATTATATTATATTATTGCTATTTCTTTTATTATTATGATTATGCCAAGGTCAATGCATTATTTCTGTTTTTATTTTATGAATTTAGTTTGTTTTATCCTATTGGGGAATAAAAGAATGAATCGACTTAAATAATGAAATAAAATTATACTCTAAACTTCGAAAAATCAAAATTTTAGGTCAACATAAAAAGGATTAATACCAAAAAAACCCTACTACACATGTGACAATTTTACCCCAACCAAAAACCCAAAATCGGTATACTTATGATAAATTTACTTAAAACTAATTTTTTGACCATAAAAAATTCCAGACTGATACGTTTGTGATAAATTTTTCCTCCGTTAAATTCTGTAAGTACCATGAAAAATCACAAATTGATAAATTTGTGACAAAGGGGAAGATAAAACCCCAAACTGGTATACTCTGTCAACTGTTTCGTGTCATCAAACTCAGTAATTTGATGGTAAAATTTAACGAAAACTAACGGAAAGTAAATTTGTTTGTGACATAAGTATACTAATTTGGAATTTTTTATGGTATTTTTTTTTTGGTCTTAGAATTTTTTATGGTATTAACTCAAATAAAAATGCTGCAAAAGTTTTTGTGTTAGAGCTGCATATATAATAAATTCACGAGGATACTCGTACTTTTCCCTCCCAAGTTTTCAGACTCTGCTCATCGTCCTCGCCGGCCGCAGCCTCAGCTGCTCGCTCGAAGCAGCACCGAAGGAGATAAAGGCCAGCTCGAGAGAGACAGAGAGAGTCGCGGCGGCGGCAGCGGCGGCGAAGTTCGGCGGCGGGCCGGAGCACGGAACGACCCACCCCGGCAAATTCCCGGCCGCGCCTCCCATGACCTTCAAGTTCGCGCCTTTAGACGGTCGTTAGCCGCCGCCGCTTCCTGCATCAACCGGCCATGGCGCTCTCGAGCCTCGCCGCTCTCTGCTCATCTCCTCCCCCCGTGTCGGCGCTCCCGGACTCGCCGGCCATCTCCAGCCTCAATGGGCTCTCGCCCATCGCGGACGACGCGGCTGCCCCGAACGCCTCCCTCCGGAGCTGCGCGAACCTGCACGAGATCAGGCAATTGCACTGCCGCGTCGCCAAGAAGGGCCCGACCCACGGTAACGAGCTCATCGCCAAGTGCGCCGAGATGGGCACGCTCCAGAGCATAGACTACGCGCTCAAGGTGTTCGAAGGGTGGAAGGAAGGCGAGTGCGTCGCCGGGTCTTTGTTCGTGTGCAATTCTTTGATTAGAGCCTGCTCTGCCGCCGGGCTTGGCGACAGAGCCGTCTTGGTGTTTGTTCGGATGCTGGAGATGGGCGTGGCGCCGGACAAGTACACGTTCCCGTTCCTGCTGAGCGCTTGCACGAGGGCTTCGTGGATCCGCGAAGGGGTTCAGGTTCACGGGGCGATAGTGAAGATGGGATTCGCGGAGGATGTTTTCGTGGCTAACACTTTGGTTCATTTTCACTTCGAATGCGGGGATGTCGTGGATGGACGCAGGGTGTTTGATAAAATGCCTGAGAGGAATGTCGTTTCCTGGACCAGTTTGATTTGCGGTTACTCCCGGAGGGATTGTCCTGAGGAGGCTGTTTCCTTGTTCTTTGATATGGTGGAGGCCGGGGCCGAACCCAACTCGGTTACTATGGTGTGCGCGATTTCCGCATGTGCTAAGTTGCAGGATCTTAAATTGGGCGAGCGGGTTCATTCTTATATCGGCCATTTAGATATTGAGCCTAATGGTCATATGGTGAGTGCCCTTGTTGACATGTACACGAAATGTGGAGCTTTTGTTACTGCAAAGCACATTTTTGACAATTGTGTCGAGAGGAATTTGGTCTTGTATAACACATTCATGTCGCATTATGTCAAAAGAGGAATGGCAAGAGAAGCATTAGTTGTCCTGGGTGAAATGCTGGAACAGGGACCACAACCAGATAGGGTAACAATGTTGTCTGCAATCTCAGCAAGTGCCACTTTAAATGAACTCTGCTTTGGGAAGTCTTGCCACGGTTACATTTTGAGAAATGGATTACAAGAACAAGACGATAACATTAACAACGCAATGATCGACATGTACATGAAGTGTGGCGAATCAGGACTAGCCTGCACGATTTTCAATTCTATGTCGAATAAAACTGTTGTCTCGTGGAATTCACTACTTGCAGGTTATGTTAGAAACGGCGATGTGAGATCAGCTAGGGAGATGTTTGATGAGATGCCTGAAAAAGATCTGTTTTCTTGGAACATCATGATTGGTGCTCTAGTTCAGGAGAGTTTATTCGAGGAAGCAATTAAGTTCTTCCGGATGATGCAGAGGGAGGGAATAAAAGCAGATAAAGTGACAATGGTCAGTGTTGCATCTGCATGTGGAAATTTAGGTTCGCTAGGTCTTGCAAAGTGGATTTATCATTACACAGAAGAAAATGCTATTGAACGTGATATGCTCCTTGACACAGCCTTGGTAGACATGTTTGGTCGGTGCGGTGATCCAAGGATTGCAATGCAAATATTTGAGAAGATGGAGAAAAGGGACGTCTCATCTTGGACTGCAATAATCTGTGCGATGGCCACAGAAGGAAACGGCAAACAAGCGTTAGAGCTGTTCAAGGAGATGCTTTGTCAAGGAGTTGAACCTGATGACGTAATATTTGTCGGACTCCTTACAGCGTGCAGCCACAGCGGATCAGTTAAACAAGGCCGCCAACTTTTCCAGTCCATGGAGGAGATATATGGGATTTCACCTCAGGTGGTTCATTATGGATGCATGGTTGATTTGCTCGGCCGAGCTGGACTGTTGGAGGAAGCATTAGATTTCATAAAGAGCATGCCAATCGAACCCAATGACATCATCTGGGGTTCACTTCTATCTTCATGTTGGACCCACAAGAATGTGGAGATGGCGGCTTATGCTGCCAACAGAATTCCCGAATTAACATCAGATAGGACTGGGATCCCGGTGATTTTGTCAAACATATATGCGTCCGAGGGAAAATGGTCAGAAGTAGCGAAAGTGAGGCTACAAATGAAAGAGAGAGGGATGCACAAGGTTCCAGGGTCGAGCTCTACAGAGGTAAATGGAACTGTTCATGAGTTCTCCTCAGGAGATGAATCTCACCTGGAAATGAGCCGCATCGCCCAGATGCTGGATGAAATAAATTGCAAGCTACGGGATGCAGGCCATGTTCCCGATCTGAGAAATGTTCTTCTTGATGTGGATGAGCATGAGAAGAAGTTCTTGCTGAGTCGGCACAGCGAGAAGCTGGCTATAGCTTACGCACTTATTAGCACAGGTCACAAGATGCCGGTGCAGGTTGTGAAGAATCTGAGGACATGCTCTGATTGCCACACATTTGCCAAACTAGTTTCAAAAGTATATGATCGGGAAATCACAATAAGAGATAATAACCGGTTTCACTTTTTCAAAGACGGGTTTTGTTCATGCGGTGATTTTTGGTAGGCCGAGAATGAGCACAATTTTTCAACCACCAAGGCAATCTTAGAGAATTTGGTCCTGGATAATCGAGTCAGCAGGAATCCACCAAATGAATTAGCACAGGACGTGAAACGGATTGCACTCTACATGATGAGAAGGATATGGTCTAAAGAAAGACATGGAGCGCTGTGAGAATTTCAGCTTTATCAACGTGATTTGAGATGAGTGGTGTGCTGTTGGACTACCCTGGTAAGCCGACGATGGGCTACAGTTTTGTGAAGATATATTCTGATGGTGAATGATTTTGCTCCGTCAACGCCCTTTTCTACAGCTTGTTAAACTTAATGTGACACAAATAAGGCAGCTTTAAATGCGATGATTTATATGAAACGCGCATGGCCATTGCCAAAATTGGTATCACTGATCTGTGTTTTCTGTAATTTATTGGCTAGAGTCTAGATATATGCAGATCGGCAACAAGAACCACTATAAATCAATCTGCTTGTTGACAGACCCAACCAACTTCTGGTAATACTTGTATCATGCTGTTACAGTCCATGGATCGATATTATTCTTTCCTGATATCGCGTCTCTTATTCTCAACCTTTTTGAGGGTTGTACGGATCGAAATGCAGATTGAGGGCTAGTTCAGTTGACATCAGTGCTTAGCAGATGTTCTTTAGTATTTTGCTTTCTTTGATGCTTTCTGTTCTTTCTGCCTATAACTGCTTTTCTGTTGTCTGTAACCCATTACTTGTATTCATGCATTCATTGCCTTGGATCGGACTAATTCTGCTGTTAAGTAAAGAGATATGTTAGCATTTATCAGGTATAGTTTGATGCATTCCTTTGTACATGCCAAAACAAGATAAAACAGCTTCAAACTTCATTTTACCTTACAACATAGGAGTGGAAAAAACTAATTATTTTCCTATCCTTGTGTGTTACGCGCCTCCATCAATGAAGGGCCGTCAATTGGGTCTAATGAGGGTAATCTTCTGACTACTAGGTAGAAGCTATTTTGTTAGGCCCCGTTTGGTTCAGCATTCCCAATGCTCATTTGGCCTCTAAAGTCCCTTGGCCAAATGCAAATAGCGTTTGGCAATTTTTTTTACTCACCTTGGGGAAATGCAATTACATTTGGAATGCTGGCTAAGGGACCTTTGGCCAATGCACCTCTGAAGGTGCTTTGGGAAGTTGCATTTTCGGAATGCAACTTGCACTATTCATCAACACTGTTCATCTTCTCCAAACCGACGTCCGGCGGCCGGCGGAGGGCTAGCCCGACTCCGGGTCGGCGGTTGGCCGGCGACCAGATCTGGCCGGAGGCGGTGGCCGGCCGTGTAGCTCCACTGGAGTTTTTAAAAAAAATAAAAATAAAATAGCAAAAGTCCTTTAGCCCAAGTTGATTTTATAAAACACTTACCAAACACTACTTGCATTTCGGAAAACACCTTTAGCCCAAAAGTATTTGCATTCCCCCAAATGCATTCTCCCAAAGCCGAACCAAACGGGCCCTTAGTCCTGCCAAGTATTTTCTTAACACGATCATTCACACGCATGTGAGTGCCCACAAAGTCACCTGCGACTTACGCTTGCAGATGCCCACATGCAGGCTTGCACACCCGCCAATGCAAGCGTGCCTACACCGCTTTGACACAGCCACACCAGACGCCTCTGTGCAGACATGAACAGGCACACATGGAGTTTCTGCGCATGCAAATAATTCAAGAACATTTTTCTGACAAAGAATATCGTTGTTGACCGAAAAAGCCCATTATCAGCAGTAATGTACAATTTAACTCAACAATTAAGGAATGACACACTGGAAGGCAAGAAGAGTTGCCAAGGAAACAACTATAGAAACACATTGTTGGACCGTATGTTATGTCGAGTGTACAGTGTAATGTTTGATTGCACTATGGTCCTAATCTAATCTGTGGGGGGGGGGGGGGGGGGGTGGGGTGGTTGAGAGATTTCCAAGGTTCTTTTCATTTTTCTTCGGTCCTTGGCGGGTTTACTCGTTGAAACTCTACCAGGCTGGTGGGATGGGATAAAGGCATCTTACAGGACACGCCGATCTTTTCCCAGTATCCATCAGGTGTGTAAGCCCAAGGCTTGAGCTAACTGTGGCAATCCAGTATACAATATGTCGTCTTACTGGAGTATAGAACTAGAGCTCTTGCGCAACGGCAACTTTTTTCCCCTCAGCATCTGCGACCCGTATCTCTCCAGGAACTCCTCGATCAGCCTACATTTCAAATGGACAATAATGGTAAACAAAGTCTAGCCAAAGCCAAAACCATAAGCCACTTGAAGCCCAGGTCTACTTACTGGCCACAGATAGCCTTCTGGGAAGCCGCCACCTCAGAGTCAGGGAATGAATCCTCCAGTCGGAAACTCAACCAAACATACAGCTCCAAAACCTTTCATTCGTTTCCAAGAAAGGAAGATGAAGCTTTTAGCTAAAAATGAATAGGTTCTAGGCAGGGTCTGAAGAATCAAGCAGCTTCAAATATCATGGTTCTTCACATAGTTCAATTATGACCGCCTTCTTTTGTTTGATGCTTTCACATAAGCAGTGGGAGTAGTGAAACATATATACCTAATTAGCTGACCTAAAAGCAAATATCCTTGGTTCCATCTTGGATAAATTAGAGATCCTTAAGTAATTTGTCTTATTTCTGCTTAGCTCATTTTCTCTAAACATCACAGCTACATCACATTGTCCTTTCTTAGTCATCTATCGTCAAAATTCACCCACAACCTCCTTCCCTTATCTGATCAGCAAGCCTCTGGAATTGCGTAAGCACAAGCACTAAGCAGCTTGTTTTCTAGATACTCATTGAAGCAAATGATACACAGGTACAATTTTGACTCATCTGGCTTTTTTGTTGCGAAATTCTGATCGCACATTTTCCTGAAGCTGCTGATAATCAACAGCTAATCCCTGCAGGCGCAAAATTCTAGAAGGGAATTTTTTTTTACACTAGTTCCAAAGCTTGATTTAAATTGATAACTTGGCAATCTAGACCTCCCCTTTTGGCGTGCCTTGAGTCTCTATATGCACTCACTCTGTCACTCAAGCCTATGAGTCGGTCTTACTGACTTTCTAGGATTTATTCCTAATTTATCACTTATAAAAAAATAAAAAATGGACAATTAAATTGATAACCACACATTGACAGTCTCAAATGAATGTCGTTGCAAGTTCGCACCAACAGAATTCTCCTATGAGGCTCTATTCTTATTTCAGACCCTTCACAAATTTTGATCTATCTAAACAAGCTAGAATAGACCTCTTTCCAATCTAAAAGAGAAACATCTTAACCAGCAGAAACGCATGTCGTATAACACTCAGATGGGCGTGCGAATATTCTAACCTTGTGAATTGATTCAAGTTCCTTCATTGCTGTATGTGTTTTTGGTACCTGAAGTGTCCCCGGAGTAAATATTTCTCGAAGGTGAACAATGCCTCTCTTCGCATAGTTCTGTGCAAACTGGTTTACCAAAAAAGTACGAGCATCTTAGTTCTCCGATTTGGAATAGCCATAAGTATTCCCGAAAGATCACCAGGATTTTAACCGTTCATCTAACCTGAATAAGACCTTGGGTTGAGATGTCATCATTCACATCAACTGGACTGCAAAATACATGTGTTAATGAATTCAAACCTCATGAATCAGCATCATTGAACTACCGCAATACAATAACATGCCAATTGCCAAAATATCATGCAAACAAGTTTTTACTGGTAGGTAAATGAAACTTTGAAAGAGTAGGTTTTCCCTTTTAATCGTGTACAATTGTGTGCTTGCATACATACATCGGCAATAAGGGGGAGGAAGCATCTTATTATAGGCAACTCCATTATGACAAAATAGGTCAAAAGATGACTAAAAGCAACTCTACTGGTGAACGGTATTACCTGAGACAAAAAAGGTACTTGTCATGCAAAGCGAGGGGCATCTCATCAACAATAGCGGCTACTTTCTGATATGTATTGAAACAAGGTCAATTACGATGACTATCTTAACTGGCCAAAAGAACAAACCTATCCTGCCACACCACCTACTTTCTTATAGATGAAGGAACAAGAGAAAACATACCAACATATCTTCGCAGTTAGCAATGAAGTAGTTTTCAGATAGCTTGGCATTCTCCAGAAAATGCTCCTGTTGAGGATGTTCGAAGAAAAATTTAAAAGTTGAAAAGGAATAGAAAAGAAAAGGAATGAAAAAGATTCACACACCAAAGATTGCCATGTTAAAGACAAAACAGAAAGGTCACAGGGTGTTGACAGTTTGTCTAATGATTGACCTTGTACCTTTTTTCTTTTTGATAAGATTGACTTCATCATCATAGCATAAACTGTTCCAAGCCCCGGACCACAGGCTATAACAGGACTAGACAACTCGTACTAATCATGTGTGCCCGTATTTCGCCACATCTAAGTTAATTTGTTGGAAGCTACAATTTGTATCTACCCACTGCACAATTAACACAATGAAGGGTGAAGTAATTTGTTAATATTCGCCATGATGCTCACTGGTACCACTTGTCTTTTTCTCCGCTCTCTTGATACTTTGGTGTCACGCAGTCAAGAAAATAAGAGATGATTTATTTCAACTTGTGAGCTTAATCATTCTTTCTTCAATTGAGGAATAATTTCAGGCAATTTTTTTATTGCAATGTATAAGCAGTCCCTGAAGCATTCTATCATTTTGGCTAGTAATGCATTTCATTTTCCTAGTTTGTGTGCCAGAACAATCATTAGTATCGTTATCCAATCAACCATCAACGATTTCAGTTCATCAGGAAAGGACATCATGAAATGTAGCTATAGATTAGTTTAGCCCCATGTAAATCACCTGATTCTCTTGCCCTTTATGGGTGTCCATACAGCTAAAAATGGACATGGGAGACCAAAACAAAATAAAGGATAAAGGGCTCTCGAGGACCCAAGTAGCCTTAAATTAGCTACAACTAGACAGGAGTAGGTTATTCATTGTTTTGGCTTGCCTTTAACCATCCCAAGAGCCAGAACCATGAGTACAAAAGGTTAAGATGAGAAACTTGACATCAGTACCAAAGGAAGGCAATAGAGGGATTTAATTAACTAGCAAGCAGAACATCTAGAATCGAACCTAGAGAAAAATCAACCTACCAATATCTGCCGAAAACCATATTGTGGGTTTAAACGCGAGTACATCAGTAAAAGATCGAAGGTAGGGAATAATCCTGCATGCTGCAAAATAGAACATGTGGGAAAGTAAGTACGTTAGGAATATCTATGATTTTTATTTTTGGTAACGAATATCCATGAATTTTGGTGGGACTATAATTGGCCTTAAAAACCACATGAAGCACAGGCACATAGGTATTGTCGCTATGATCTCTCCAAGCATGAAAAGGTCACCTCTAGAGTAGGAGATGGGGCATTCAGAGCTGCATGAAGCAACGGTAAATCCTCTTCATCAACACAAGTCACTTCACCGACAGGATATTTTGATCCATACCTGCCGGCCCTCCCTACATTAAAGCCAATTTACAGATGGTTTTATATAGAGCATCACTCCCAAAATGTTCCACGCAATTAGTAATCAATAACAAAATCACATTAGAGTTTGGGCGATGTACAGACATGACATACAAAGCATGCATCTAACAACTAGCTGTCACCAGGAGAATATACTACAGTTTTATAGCTTTTACAGTATTATTCCCCCAATTCTCATGAATAAGTTGACTATTTTAAACTTATAAAGTACTCACTCTTTGTAACCAATTTCACAAGTAAACTATATGTAGTGAACTTTAAGCAAGAACCTGAGCAAAGGGGATATAAATACAAGATGGCTTTTGGCGCACTACCCATAGGTCTAAAAATTCCAATGACATATTTCCAAAGCCTATTTACCATGGTGGACAACAATATGGCCAAAAAGAAGCAGCACAAGCAACATATAAACTAACAGTTTGTGACAATATTAGGCTCATCTGTACGTGGTGAGCCTCACTTTCAAAACTGATCAACCAAAAAACTCCAACTAGCTCATTATAAACTATATGCTGCATGAATCCAATAACATGTTTCTACCTAAGCTATTGAAGCATCAGAATTCCATTAGATCTAACATATTTATCTATTTTTAATGACATTTTTTATAAAACCCTCAAGCAAATAATGTTACGTTGATGGGTACTGACAGCTTTGTGCTTTGTTGATGAACTTTTGCTTATTGGTTAAAAAGAAAGCATCAGCAACACACAAGCATTTTCAGTGAACTTATCAAACATCTAGCTGTGGCTTGGGCGTTGGGGCATATTTTCCCAGTGAAAATAATGTTCAACCATCACAACCCATCTAAATAGCAACATATCAAGACCTGATCATTGAAAATCGAGTCATAAATAGACTTCATACATGAGAAAAAAGTAGAAACAAAATAAAGTAAGCAGAATTTTGGCCCACAATAAGGGTAAAAAAAAATTACACATATATAAGCCCTCAAGTAGATGCAAAGTATACTAAGGGTAACAGATGATGTCTTTATTTTGCCGACATGAAAAACGTATTTACCTGCAATTTGCTTGATCTCTGGAACAGTTAGCTCACGAAACTCGAGACCATCGAATTTTGTCATCGATGAAAATATGAGCCTGGAAATTTGCAGATTGAGACCCATTCCAATGGCATCACTAGCAACAAGAACATCGAATTCGCTATTTGCATCATTGAACATGGTTGCCTGCAGTCCTAAAGAACATGCATCAGAACATCTTAATTATCCAATGCTTTCAAAACACATGAATATGCATTCTCTATGAGAGAGAGAAAGAGAGAGAGAGAGAGAGGAACAGAAATCAGAATTTTAAAGCCACAAAGTGCGACTATCATTCAGGAGAAGAGATATAGAATCCACAATGCATGAGCACATCTAGAATTCCAGAAAGTGCACAAGCCAGGAGGTCTCATTTAAAGCTCTGGCAAAACAAAAAGAAAAGAGAAAAGATTTTCATGTAGATAATGGAAAAGGAACATGCTATACAAAATACAAAAAGACGTCTTACATAAATCACTCAGACCATTCTTATGCAGGTTATATATCTCTAACAAAACATTAGTTACATTTACTGGCAAAAAAATTTCAGGAACAGTCCTCAGGGAATATTAATACAAGGCCTCATTATAGCCATTTCTGACAATGCTGCAATTGACAAAATGCATCAAATGCTACATGGTGCATTTATTTCATCATCTTCTTGTTTGTGGCTTTTGGAATTACATGCTCCTGAACCTCAATACGTGAACCTCTACAAAAGCATGAGCTTGAACTTTAAATTGAAACCCCCAATAGTTCCACTAGTAGAAAAAGCTGATCGATATATTAATTCGACTGATCATGAAATTTGACGAGAGATTTTGTGGTGAGGAAAACCTTCACAAAGATTTTGTGGTAAGGAAAACTTCAGTTTCACGTTAGTTAATCTCCATCAATAGGAAATGTCAAAGAGTGCCTCTAGGGCACTCGTTAAGAGTCACTAATAGTGCTTTGAAAACGAAAATATTTCTGTTTGAAATACATGACTATTTTGAAATGTGTTATTACTCAATTACCAAAGTGATCAATAAATATATAGGTATTAGAATAGCAAAATCAGCATTTCAATAAAATATCAATGAAAGCTCAATTAAAGCATAACGAAAAGGAATACATAACTAGGACTACCGATCATTCAACCAGCTCAAGTGACAAATAAGCTTTTCTTTTCATTTTAATGTTTAATGGACTCCAGTTGCCTAGTTGCGCCTCTTCAAAGCAGGCAAAAGTTCACAGGAGTGAAATACTACCTGTCTTGTTCGAGTCTGAGGTGGCAATGAACCATAAACAACGGCACAACGACGCTCTCCCCCTCTTTCAATTTGCTTCTACATTGCAAAAGAAATGCTTACACTTTAAAGGTGGGTTACTAGAATGAATTGATATTCAGTTTAATGAAAATTACAGCCAGATGAACAGGAGTTGAAAACATATAAGGGGAAGAGATTCAAAACCTTTAATCGGTAAATTCCAGGACGGGAAAAGGTGACCATGCAATCGCCTTTTTGTATTTCAGAAAAAGATCCCAGAGGGACTTTCAGTGGGACCAGAGGAGAAAGTCTCTCATAATAGTGAATCTAACAGACAGCAGAAAGCAGAAAAGGTAATAAGCAATATGCTCAAAGCAGGCCAAAGCAAGAAGACATCAACATATTGGTAGGTAATATATTGCAACAAGTGGAGATTTAAGTTTACCAGGACATTTATTTGCATAAGAAAATATTTGAAAGCCAAAGTCATTGAGACATGCGATTTCTAGTCTATAGCCAGTACCAGCTACATGGAGTGGCCAAGGCATCATTTCCTGAGCTACCAAGGTAATTGTGTTTCTTGGAATCATAAGATAATACATCTCTCACAGAAGGATGAAATTCCAAGAGATGTCATGCACAAAATCTCATTAATTAGTACATCCAATTAAGTGTACATGGCATATGTTAGTTAGGGAATTGAAAGTATAGGAAAAGGCAAGTCAGATTTTCTTGAAGCCATTGACACTGAGAATTAATTGCTACAAAGTCTTCCATTCTTCATACTGACTACAAAATTTCGCGTCATTAGTACAATATATCTTTCTTGAGTTGCCACTAAAAGCTATAGCAGAAAAAATCCCATCTAAATACAAAAGAAAAGATGTCAGTACCTCAAGATCATCGCCTGTCACTTTCACTATATCTTCAACAAGAGCAACTGCCGCTGCATCTCCGCAAAGATGGAGCTCATCAGCAGCAAGTCCCAGTAGTGCTCGTGTAAACGAATATCCCCTCGTCTTACATCCCACCATCTGAAAATGAGTTCCTACAGTTAGAATTCTAAACAAAAGCTCATAAGATGAAGAAAAAGCAAAGCCTACATATCTGTGAATTTGGTATGAATTTATACTGAGGCAAAAGGTGAAAAGATCGATAGATATTTGGCCGCAAATCGCATGATGTTTCCAATGTGTGCTCATATTTGTATCCTAAATTAGCTTTCTTAAGTTATTGATAGCAACAGGTATGAGATATTTAATCGATTTTATGTACTATCCATTAAATCAACATTCCACCATGTTCATGATCTATTGCACTTTTAGTGAATTTAATTCAGGAGTTATATGTTTCACAGCAAAACTGTCTCACGAACCAGTCAACAACATGCCTGGATTTCATCAATGACGGCACAGTGATAGTCTGACGTAACATCAGCCATCTCAACTGTCATAGACTTGTGCTTTGCGCCTTCAACTTCCTCCCTCTCTTGTCCCGTAATCAAATCACAAGGAACTTTTGCCTTATTCATTTGTGTAGCCACTTCCCAGGCCAACAACCTCAAGGGACCGCAGTATACACCTAAAGTTTGTAAAGTTATTCAGAAAAACAATAAATCTTGGGCAAAATTGCAAGTAATGCATACATATTAATCACGTGAATCGACAAATTCCCTACCTACAGAGAGGGCCATAAACACATTGTCTACGTAAAACTAAGAATATTAATTGAAAAGCCTCCCTCAACTCCTTGCATACAAGTCAACTACCACATTTCCTATTCCAACAAAACAAAGTTTCACATGCTTTAGACGTAGACCGGCTATCCACACATGCGTACTTGCAGTAAATGGCTTTTGCATGAGAACCACATGATAATCTCTGTTAAAATTGGCTGAAAGTGTGACACTTCTTACTATATATAAAGTTGTGACAACTTGTTTTAACATTCTGAAAGTTAGGCAGGTACTTTGAAAATCTGCCTTTCTATACATGGGCAGGTGATATGTGATTTTTCCACTAATCAAAGTACTCCGAAACATAAAGAAAAGCTTGCCTGACAAACTCAGCTCCAGTTGCTTCAGTGCAGAATGTGTTTTGCCACTGTTAGTCGGGCCTACATGGAGAATGACCATGCGCCTTTTCTTCCGCGCCACGGGGTACCATGTATGAGGACGACTGGAAAATTGCACTTCTTCATAATGATGGAAATTAAAAGATTGCGGATGCATATTGAGGGTATGAGTTGAAAAACAAAGTTGAAGAGATAAACTTTTCAGTCAACGTTGCTTGACATACCATATGCATATAAATGGACCAAGTACTAGATACATCGGTAAACATAATTTTTCATTGCCCAAAAGAGCCATCGATCAAAAAATGATTTATCCCACTACAAAAGTAGCTTCCTCACATATTAAAATATATTCTAGAACAAAAGGAAGACAGTGATGCTTGGCACTGACAAAAAGAAAGGCAACATGAAACAAAGCACTTTAAACCAATAAGGAAAATGAACTCGTGGAGAAACAAGCAGATGATATCGTACGTTAGGTCTGTGAGATCCAACTTCTTGGAAATGCTGCAACTTCCATCTTTCAGGTCTGTGAAATCAAACTTTCTGGTGCTGCTACAGCTTCCATAGTGCCTTCTCGTCTTAATTACCCCCGTTTCACATCCGCCCTTCAATTCCAGCCACAGCCAAAACGACTCCACATTATCTATCAACAGAAAACACCATACCAAAAGGTGCAACGATACAATCAAATCATAGTGCCTCCATAAAGTTTGATGCAAGGACAACGTTTTCTTTTACTGGAAACGAACACACAACAAAATCTACAATGTATCGATGTTGAAAAAGCCAGCGTATGGTCTCCTGTTGTACAGTGCTCACATGACCTCATTAAGTAGGAAGTTGCACTAGAATACCTTGCAATTCTTGCGTTTCGATCATATCCATGCAAAACAAAGGTTATTCGCAATCATCAACAAGTAATGTTGTCTACGCAAATTGCGATCTAACACCATTTTGATCCGCAAATATCTACTTGCGAATGTGACAATCAGTAATATAGACATATTTTACAGACAATACAGACATATACTTCAGTTATATTGAATAGCAAAAATTTCTGTCAATGGAGTTTCGGAAGGAGCGAGGATATAGCCTATACCAGCAAACTAAAATTGGTGAAACAGGATATTGGCAATGTCAAGACATTGACCAAAGTGCCTGACTTCGTAGACCAGTCTACCCAATTATAAGAACTGCATAGATTTTGGTGGATATCCATACGCATTTGAAATTGGTTACCTCTCCTGTCCCAAGACCAAAAAGAAAAGTACTTTCGGCAGACAAGATCCTACTTCTCACATTACACCTCGAGTTACAGAAAAGCTAGAAATCCAGCATAGAATCAACACATTAGCTATTTCTTGACAGATGACTGAACAATTCAATACCATATCAATAAAACAGAAACTCACTACTCCAAAAAAAGAAGAAAGAAAACAAAAACGGTCCCCTGGTTGAAGTCTCCTACCTCAATAGATGTATTCTCAGGTCAGCTAACCCAAACCAGAAAATGCCCAGAAAGAAAAAGGCAAAGAAAAAACAAGAGAAAGCAAAAGCATTTTAATCTGAGCTACAATCCATTAAAGCAATGAAGCAACAACAGAGATACAGAGCCATCAAGAATTGGGCAGAACACGAGTTCAAGGTCGGACCTTTGAGAATGGGAGGGACACCCAGAGCCGAGACTCGCCGCCGGAGCAACAGAGCAGCCATGAGAGGTCGCGGGAACCGCTGTTGGTGGCGATACAATTCGTGGGTTTGAGAGTTTATGTCACGGACGAGACGTCGCCGAAACGAAACGGGTGTCACCGATTCTTGAGGCTTGACCGTAATCTCGGAGATGGAGAATATGTTGGAAGAACCAAGGAAGCGACAGACGGAAGACGTCCGCTTCACGTTCGCCGAAATCAGCGTCCGCCCAAGCATGTGGGGGTTCGCCGGACGACCAGCCGATTCGGTCGTGTATAATAAAGCCATCGAATATGCCCGAACTTCTTTTTATTTATACGATGTCGTTCTTACGCTTTCACAAATAGTCCCTGAACTTTAGCCCAATATGTAATATGGTCCCTGAACTTTTAATTTATTTAATGGGATCACTAAAATTTAACTCAGTGTGCAATGTGGTCCATGAACTTTAAATTTATTCAATGTAGTCTTTAGACTTTTGGTACATGTTAAGTTGGTTTCTAGATTATATGAAATTGTTCAATGTTGTCATTTTATTAATTCAAGTTCATGAATTAAATTGAACATTTTTATATAATCCGGAGATTAGATTGAACATGTACAAAAAGTTCAAGGACCACATTGCACATTAGGCTAAAGTTCGAGGATCACATTGAACAAATTAAAAGTTCACGAACCACGTCACAAATTGAGCTAAAATTCATGAACTATTCGTGTCATCTTCTTTTTTGTTTTTTAATGCTCTTTGAATTATGGATTCGTTTATTCGTATTAATCATATCATTAACTTGTAAATATTAGATGACGTGGTTGTTAAATGGTCGTTAAATACCACGTTAGCACCTAAATGGTAGCCTCGTGAAGCTTATGTTTAAAGAATTTGTATATTTTAAAAAAACAGAGCTATTTTCTGGAAAGAAATTAGGAAAACAAAATCTTAAAATTCATCGTTCCAAGCCTCTGGCGGAGCATAGGCCGAGCCACGACCAGCCGGCGCAAGGGTCATTCTCCATGGAGAAGAGAAGGCGCAATGTCTTCTATTAGCTCGGGTCAATTTTTTGGCCAAATTTTATTTTTGTCTCATAAAACGGCACAAAATTTCCCTCTGACTCAAATTCTTTTTTGCCTCGTAAGTAGGAGCCCGATTTGGGTACCGACTGAAAGTGGTGATTTTTTACGAGACAAAATAAAGCTTTGGCTAGTTTTTAGACCTAAGTTAAAGTCGGTGCTTTCTTCACGACATAAAAGAAAATTAGGGCCGAAATCACCAACCGAGCTAAAGTTGGTGGTTTTTAATAAGACACATAAAAAAAGTTTGGGTTGAAAATTGAGATCCGCATTAAAGTTGGTAAGGTAATTATGCTCATTTCTCTCTTACGAGGCCCCATGATTCCTTTCCGGTGGCAGCGGCGCCATCAAACAAGGACCTCATTTCATCATAATATCGAAATCCGACATATCGAAATTGTCCTGCTTCTGATTTTTCCTGATAAGAAAGTATAATTATCAAATATTCAAGATGAACATAGTTGATATTAGCATGGACGGAGCAGAAACATGTACTGGGATGTTGTCAATAGCATAACACCTTGAATAACAAGAACAGACACAGAACATTGTACAGCAGCTCTGTGGGCTTATCTTCTCCATCTGATGTCTCATCACTTGGATCTCCGAACGCATCCAATTTCTCGGCACCGTTTTGATTGGCGGTTGAATCTCGGTGCAGTGTGACATTTGCGGAGTTGGCTCCTCCTAGAGCAGAAGCTAGCTCGCCGTCGTTTGGCATGATCGGTGGAAACACTACCGCCGGAGCGCCATCTGCGATTGCGAGGAAAAATGAGAGAAATTTTCGCAGCCTTGCTTAAAAGAAGTGAAGAAATTAGATATTTCCTTTGTTTCTATAAAATTGTAGTTTATTGAGTAAGGTATATTGTTTTTTTGGAGATCAGAAAGATTTCAAAGCAAGAACACTGCTCTTGCATCGCTAGCAATTCTCTTTCTTGACTGGTTCGATTCAATCCATGGTGTCGCATTGCCAGCTTTTTACAAGTATCATATCATATACAAACGTTACATCAGTTTTGGGCAGTTTAGGTTTTCTCAAAAACCAGACTTTTGACAACCGTGACTAGGGCTTAGCGTGCAAAAGTTTACCTTGACAAAGGGCCAGAGGAGGTATTGATAGATAGCAGTTCGACGATAGCAACGAGAATCCATTTCCGGGCAGCGGTTCGGAAGATGTGAACAGGGAGCAGAAGCAGTCAAATCCTTCTCGAATCACCGCATTAAGGGCGATGCAGCATGTTTCTATAGAGCCCTCATCTTGCTTTGAGCACTGCTTGAGGCCTATTTTCTCCACATGACAGCCTTGAGATGGTGCTTGCGTCGAATACAGTATAAGAGCTAGACAAAAAGGCAACTTGAAGAAACTTAGGCAGCTCGAAACCATGATGTTCATCTTTTTCTTCTATTCAAGTTGCTGTAAAAATTCATGACCTTCACAAGTTTATGAACATATGCAATGCAAGTTCTCTGATCAGGAGGGACGATTCGCATGCTCGGGCAGGCGCTTGTGTTATTCCCAGAATGCCCCGGTCATATTCACAACGACATGATCTAAATGGAACAGTTAATGTCGACTTCTTAGTTTATAATTGTCGAACACTATCTTAAAGGGCGGGGTGGGAAAATCGGCATATAACACAATGATCTCACAATAGTCAGAGCGTGAAAACTTTCTCCCTCAACTACTAGGGAGGTTGAGATTTGTGATAGGAGCATGTTGCATGCGTGAAAGCGTGAATCTCAAATGGCTTCAAAGCTCTCAGCTGTTTCGCACTTAGAGAGCTCATCCTTCTAACTGAAAACAGGTCTGGACCGCAGACCGGACTCTTTTTTCTGCTAACACGGAGTGACAAGATGCATTCTCGAGATATCTTTGCAAGTTTGGAACGAATTTTATGAATGTATTCTTTGTACTACTCCATTTGTAATTTCTAGCAATCAGATTCAGGCCAGTGCTTTTTGGCAGGACCAACATTGGCTTTGATTCTATGATAAATATCCTCCAGCTCAAGCCTGAGTTCTTCAAACTGTATAAAAGAAACTACATTTTTATTCCCACTCTCATCACTGCATTACAAAACAAATATGATCTTATTCTATAAATAACCAAATGAGACTCTGTCACACGGTATCCTGAAAAGCTCACAACCCCAAAGAATCACCACAGAAAATTCAGAAAAAAAGAAAGATTAATACAAAATCAAGTAGACAATCCCATCATAAATCAGCAGTACTTCAAGAAAGCGGATGCCAATCCAACTAGCAGTAGAGCCGGTGAGAAAACATTGGAGGGCCCAGCGGCTGACGGGTTTACATTGGAGCGGCTCCCAGTGTTTGGCGTCGGATTCACCGAAGTGACTGTCGGAGATGGCGGAGCCATGAGTGGCGGCGTTTCAGATTCTGGGGCCAGAGCTGGCGAGTCGGGTTGAGGATCTGTGGACCCTGCTGCACAAAATCAAGAAAACTTAAACATGCACCTGATAAAGCATTTGTTCATTGATTTTCAGACGTGTGGCTGGTTTGAATATCAGTTACCTAGAGGACTGCTTGCTGGAGAGGATGATGGAGAAAGAATCGGTCCAAGCGTGGCAGGACCTGAAAATTGATGACAAGAGTTCATTAATCAATGATTCAATTGATTGATTTAGCAAATTCTCTTCTCTGTGATGATTGATGACAGATTCTTAAAAGTGTTTGTTTTTGGCTTCCTTAAATTTGATCTACTATCCTACGTCGCTTGTACGGAGTTTATATGCTCCTTATATGCATGTCGTCTCCTTCCACCTATTCGCTTAAACTTTCTGTTGGACATTCTAACATGTATAATAACATTTCTCCATTCCTCAAATATCTCGTGGTAACATCCCTGTGAAATGGTTTTGTAAGGCGGCTGAGATGAGGCAGCAATCCATAGTCGAAAGAAACAGCGAAATATCATAGTAAGTTCACGCTTTATGATTGATTCAATCTATTAACGATGCTGATAACTGCAGAAGCACAACAATTAAAGGCGAAAGGGCGGTACCTGGAGCAGGAAGAGGCGCACCCGTAGCTGCAAGTAACAATGAAATGGAGAACGTTAAATTAAGTCTAGTACAACACTAAGGAAGATATATGATCATATGAGTAGAGAATAAATAAGTGCAAGTGACCCCGAAATTAGTAGGACTAGCATACCTTTGCACTGGAGGGGCACACCAGGCATGTTGCAGGCGCGGGGGAGCGAGATGGCAAGGGTCCGGTTGATGGGCATCTGGAACGGAATGCCACCAGCCACGATGAGGCACATGCAGCCCATCCCGTTGCTAGTGAGCGACTTGAGCGAGTCGCAGCACTGCGAGGTCGGCGACGTGCTGTTAAGGCTGCTGTTGGTGACGAAGTTCAGGCACGGCGTGAAGCTCGAGATCATGGAGGGAGTGCACGGCGTGGTGATCTGGCTGCGCACCGGGATGGTGGTGATCGAGAGCGCGATGGCCACGGCAAGGAGCAGAAGAGAGAGTGAGAGAGGCCTGAAATGCTTCATTTTTGCCTAGTGTTGAAGATGAGTGAGTGTAGGGAAACTGTGCTTGTTGGAGAAGAAAACTGAGAAAATTTTATAGGAATTGAGAATGAATTGTTACTTGGTGATGAGGGAAGGGAAAGATGGTGATGGAATTTATAGGTATTGAGAAGTGGAGGGAAGTATGAGAGGAATTCAAGAGATTCTTATTATTTTTTTATTTTTTTGGGGGCGAATTTTTTGGGATAATGAAGTTGGTGTTGGAGTTAAACTACCTTAACTAACTTTGAGCTTTCAAGGAACAGAGGTGTTGAGGACTTGTGACAAGATGGTTGGATTGGCATGTTTGCCTGTGGACCCCAGTTTGACCTATCTTTTTGGTGGTAAGAGAGGGGCCCTTGCATGCGTGTCGCTTGGTCATTGGTTGCCTTTCAAGGATTAGAGGATTGTAGTTGTGCTAACAAGGGACCATGGGATGGTGTTGACCTAGTGTTACCGTCCTTAACGAACTTGATGTAAGAAAAAAAAAGAATTTAAGGATTGAAGTTTTGAATGATCAAGAGCATATAGAGGGTCTTGTGCACGATACTCTTGAAGATTATTGGATGAGCGGGATTCATTTAAATCAATATGTTGCGGCCCTTATGTCGCATAGACTTCACACGTATGGCTCATCCAATTCAATAATTTCAAGGTCTAAATATATGGCTCTAAGAAGAAGCGTACAGAAAATCTTCAATCGAGATTGGGCAAAACCTTATGTTAGGACTGTAGAGCATGATGAACTAATTTTGCATGATAATTCAAACGGATAAATAGTTTTAGCAGGAAATTTAATTTATTTATTTTTATCATGGATGGGCTTTTTAGGGCTAGGATTTTTAAGCCCAATACCTAATCAACTCGACCCGTCCATTGATCAAACCTAATGAGTGACCGAGACTTTGCTTGTGACTCGTAATCTCTCTTGGGCAAAAAGACTACTTGAAATGGCAATCAAATTAGTTGTGATAAACAAAATTAGTTCTTTCTCCAGCGTTTCAGCAACAGTATTTGCATATCATTCTCTTGCTTGCATAAACCATCCTCCAATATGTCACAGCTTACCAAACACAAGTTCCTGGTCATCTGGAGAGATAGATCAAAGCATGGTGGCAATACACAAGTCCATATCTGAACGATTAATTCTGTTAAAATAATTTCATCACTAGACCACACAGGTCCAACTCATCATGCTCATTACTTCCTGATGCAAGTTTCCTCAGCTTTGAACTCATTTTTATTACAAATAAAACGTATGCCAAATCAGTTGGAACCAACAGTTGGGAGTTGGCCACCTGAAGAACCAAACAGATTTCGTTCACAAAAAGAACCAAACGCATGGACTTGTTCCTGGGTATGCCCAATAAACATGGTCCTGTCCCTAACATCTATGTTTATTACCAGAACCATGAAAATCAAACAAATTTCTGATAACCAGAAAAGATCCTATGGAAGTAGTAGGAGCAGTTGGTGACCCAAATCAACATTTCCTGCAACTCTTCCCTCTCTCTCAGAGATTTCCCCTACATAAAGCCAGACCAGTTGCTCTCTTTCTCTTCACACCACTGAACTAAACTCACAATCCGGGACTTGCAAGTTATCTCCATATACACACATCTTTTGGCATCAGCGCGAAATTGGAGGCAGGAAAGATCATCCAAATGGCACAGACTAAGATGAGAATTGTGGCTCTGATCTTGGCCATGGTGGCTGTAGGAGCGGCGGCTCAGTCGTCAAGCTGTACGAACGCGCTGATCAGCATGTCGCCGTGCCTTAACTACATCACGGGCAACTCCTCGTCCCCGTCCTCGAGCTGCTGCTCGCAGCTCGCCAACGTGGTCCGCTCAGAGCCGCAGTGCCTGTGCCAGGTCCTCAACGGGGGCAGCTCTTCCCTTGGTCTCAGCATCAACCAGAGCCGGGCCCTGTCCGTCCCCAGCGAGTGCAACATTCAGACTCAACCGACAAGCCGTTGCAACGGTGAGTGTGTGCGCACATGGAAAACATCGAAACTGATATTTCTCATTTCCGTCTCCAAATCATTCGATCTAGCTCTTACTTTTTGTACTAATCGACATTCTTTGCAGCTGCTTCGCCCTCCGGATCCCCTGCTGGAACTCCTGATACCCCCAATGCAGTTCCCTCAGGTACACTCTCCATTCTTTATTGTTAGCAACAATTTATCAATTCAAGTATTTCGGTTAGTTAGGCACAACTTTAGTACACAAGCAATAGCATTTAGTGTTGGTACGTTACGAAGAAATGGATAATAAAATCTTAATTCACTTGCTAATCACCCTTACCCTCATGATTTTCTATCTTATCAATTTCGATCACAATTTTGCTGTGAATGCTCATCTTGTTGATTAGAGACATTCCCATTTATTTTTGCAGATTCTGGAGCAAACGACACACCGTCGACCGAACAAAACATACCATTGACCAAACAAGATGGCTCATCAGCAGGAAGCATTGCCGAGTTGTCGATTCCGCTTCTCTTCGTCCTTCTCTTCGCAGCATCATATGCCTGAGCAAATACCTGAAAACTAATTACACTCTTTCATGGCCACCACCACCATTTCCACATTTCTTTTATCATCAGAGTCTACTCATCCATCTTTGTTTTTCTCATTTAGCTCGAGTGGCACATGTATTACATAATTCTTTATGATCTTAGAGGTATATAGTGTGTATTTATGTGGTAGATTTTTTTTATCTAATAACAGGAGTCCTTAAGATTACAAATGGGGCTGTTGGCATGATTTTCAGTTTCAGAGGACGACTTGTTTTATCTGAGTGAAAACTCTACTTTTAAACAGATCGATCAGAAGAACATTCAATACCAAGTGGAGATGGAAATTGAGATTAATTTGTTTTTCGACCAAATTATTTGGTATAAACTTGAGTATTGAATAAAGGTTAAAAAAAAAGGTGATTCTTGGTACAACGATTAGTTGTGACAAAAAAATTTCGTCCATTTTGGACAATTTAGTATCAACCAAGTCCAACAAAAGAACTTGGAACACCTTATCCTTGTGGATACAGATATATTTCCCTTAGACCAAGTCCATGCAAATCGAATTGAATCGAATCGAATCGAGATTTTGGCCCAACAATGGTGATGCTTGACTCTTACTCCCAGCATGCAGCTGCTTTCGACAGATGAATTAACAGTAAAAAGGCGGTTCTTCTATCGTAATTGCAACTATATCTCCTGTCACGAGCTAATCCTGACAATTCATGGACAGAGTGGTTGGTTCAAGGCTATATGCAATTGCGGATTACCTAATCGGCATCTGCCGCTACACTCATATTCTCAAATTGAATTGGTAAATTAAATCTCTTAAAGACAAACTAGAATCAATCTATGCAGATTTGGTAAAACTTAAAATGTTCTAACAGAAGAGCGAATACAATGAAAATGCTCTGAACAAGAGACATACTAACTTTGGAAGAGAGAAGGCTAAACATCACCATGTCTCTAGCTCTTCCCTTCACCATGTCTCAGAACACCCTCCCTCCTAAACCCAGCCTCCAACGCCCTAATTGACCCCACATTCTCAACATCAACAAGAGCCTGAAGCCTCAACAGCTCCGACCACTCTCGGAAAACTGCCGCTGCCGCCATCTTCACCGCCCGCGTCATGATTCCCCGTCCCCAGTATGCCGAGGCAAGGCCATAGCCGATCTGAGATGTCGACCGGTGGTCCCTAATCAATGCCACCGGCCTCACCGAAATGCCGCCGACCAGACGATCATGAAGGCAGATGGCTCTATACCAAGGGTGAGGGAGGACAACGTTCGTGATGTAGCTGATTCCTTCTTCTTTGCTGGTGAAAGTGTCCCAAGTGGAAAATCGGCTCACTCTGTCATCGGTTGCCCTCACCATGAAGTCGTCGATGTTCTAAAGGCCCATCGGCCGAAGAGCGATGTCAGAGAATTCGTTGACGGCCATGGACAATGTAAGGATTAAGGAGGGGTGACCCTTTTACTAAAATTGGATGGTGAGAGCTTTTAATGGAATGAAACTCCTAAGAAAGAAACTGCTGAATTGGTTATGGTACTTGCTCTGGCGCAAGTATTATATACTTATGCCAAGTGATCTTACTGCAACATTACTTGGGAAACACTTTCTTCCTTTTCTCAAAAGATTTGATGTTTAAGGTCAACGGTTCATTGCTAGGAAATGTACGTGCTTGCACAGAAGTCATATGCGACAATGCTGATTGTGGCCACCTTGGTTGACTCCTCTCTAATGAATCCAGATTCAAAGAATCTTCCAGTAGATTATTAAGGGCAAAAGGACACTATAAGTGCCATAAGTTATGTACGGAGATCACTTTAGTGCTATAACTTTTTTTCGGATCACTTTGTTGCCAACTTTTTTTAAAAACGATCACTTTAGTGACAATGCTGATATGGCCGCCGGAAATCTGACGTGGCTCTTTTTTTATTAATTTCCGATGCTAATATGGCTTGCCGAAAATCTGACGTGGCTCGTCGGAAATCCAACGTGGCTTTTTTTTTTGGCCGAAGTCACTAAAGTGATCTCTTTTCCTCCGACTTGGCACCAAAGTGATTCGAAAAAAAGTTATGGCATCAAAGTGATCTCCGTACATAACTTATGGCACTTATAGTGTCCTTTTGCCGATTATTAAGAAACACTACAATTTTTGTCCTATAATTTTTGTCTTAAGTATATTTTTTTGTTTTTCGGTTTCCATACCTCTAGCATTGTTCTTTTTCCCGTGACTCAATAAATACGTTGGACACCCACGTTGGGCGATAAAATTGTCCAAAAAGTCCTAGAATTATTGCCAATTCAGTCTTAAACCTTTTAATTGTATCAATTGAGTCATAAACATTTTTACATTTTGCCAATTGAGTCTATTCGGCCAATTTTGGCCGGAAATCATTGACGTGGATATTAACTGTTCTACATGGCACGATCGACGCTGAAGTAGACATTTTTTAACAATATTTTAATAATTTTTTGAATTTTTTATGATTTTTTCCTTCTTGTTACTTTTTTTGAGTTTTTGGAGTGAGGGCTGGCGACCCTCACTGGTACTGGGGTACATTGATTGGGGCACATCCACAAAAGTGGCTTTTGAACATGACCTACCACCGGCTTAGGTGCAACTGTAACTCAAATGGTGTGTATCTGTAACGGGCTTTCGATCTCTAAAAGGATCTGGTATAGCTACTCAATCTCGATCAAATGATTCTGGATCTTTCTCTACATCTTGAGTATCCATAGCAGGATATAGAACTCAATATCGATCCATTTTGAACTTGAAAGGGTGCTCCATAACTTCAACAAATACTACTTCTAACCAACATCAGCTATTGATCACACCCATCATCATAAGGACCTCTTGGTATGGGCTTGGAGCATTGGGCCCTGGTATTGCTCCCCGACCAACCTAGCAAGGGAACTGGAGGGGATGCTATTGGTGCTAGATTTGGTGCATTCTGGTCCGGTTGGATATGCCAGACTTTTACTAGGCACGAGATCTAGCCTTAAGGGCTAGAGGAGGCCGGACATAGATGTTTTTGGGCCCAAGAAACAGAAGATAGTTTTGATTTTGTTTGGACCCATTGAATCTAAACACATAGCTAGACAAATTTACAGGTAATCTTTTGTTCATAATATATATACACACACGATATTTGTTACTTATACACTTCTGATACACTGATTAACTTTTGTGGACAAGAAATTGTATTGCCACACCTGAAAATCAAATCTCTCGTAGGGATTTGAGAAAAGTCAACTCTTGGTGGCTATTAAATTTGCTGCCAAAGTCAAGTCCTCGTCAAATGATTTTAGTTTATTTTCATGCGTACGAAATGAATCTAGTTGATGAAAGAAATGAATGAATCCTTGTAAGAATTAGGACAAAGGTGTTGATCTATTTGACCGTAGTTGCAATGTAACCTTGACGATGTAAGGATGACAAAGTTAGCGACCGGAGAGTGGCTGTTACTACATCCCCCTCCATTCCCCTAGTGAGTATCTGTAACCAAAGGATTGCACCAATTCAACAAATTGTGGGCTTGATGCCTTGTCATTTGATGGAAACCGTCGGGACATACTTTTCATTCGAGTCGCAAACACTTTTGTTTCCATTAAGAGTCAGTCTTGGGTGATCGTGGTGCATGTGAGCCCAAATCAAATACATCATTGGACAATATCGGTCTCATATGGGGGCAATCTCACACAGCGTTGAAGGAGGGAGGGCAAGTCATAAACTTATTAAAATTTCAAAGCTAAGACAAATCACAATGGAGCTTTTGGTTCTTTGCATATAATCTATTGCAAGCACTTAATTCATCTTGATAAACCCCTAGGGTTAGCGCAATTAGTTGGGGTATTGGAGGATTTTCAGCTCCAGAATTAGAGTCATCCATTCAAATCCCACCAACTACGTACAAATTACTTTTAATTAAGGTCACTTGCATAGGCCAACAGTTTGGACTTAATCTATTCATAAGACTAATAGGCTACGTTTGGTCGTCCGGATTTCTAAACAGGATAGGACCGGATAGGATAGGATAAGAAATCCTGGGATTTCTTCATATCCTGTCCACTGTTTGGTGGACTACGGATTTAAAGTCGGATAGAATAATTTTTTTTTTTTTGCTATTCACGGGTCCGGAGGAGTCGGTGAAGGAAAAAAAATCGAGAAATTTTTTTGGTGAAAGCGCACAAGGTGTGGGGATGAAGATGACGGCGAGTGGAGCGTAGGGTTTCTGGAAAAATAGGCATTAGAAATCCTATCCGGGTCTATCCCATCCCCCCTCGGATTTTTTTATCCGGGTTATATCCGGTCTATATCCGACCTTATACTATCCTGGACCACCACCAAACACAGGATAGGATAAAACATATGATATCCTGACTTTTATCCGGTCGACCAAACGCAGCCATAGGGTCTTTCATGGACCTCCAGGTAGCAGGATTTCCACGCTCATTTCCCTGAATTATAAAATAAATTAAATAGAGAATAGTCATCAGATGGTAAATCTCACAATCAAGTACTTGCTAGGGGAAATAGAAACTTTCTAAGTGGACGATGTTTTTGTTCTTTAAGAGCTAGCTAATCTTTGCACATAATGGAAACCATAAAATCCATATTTGCCTCCCACCGATCCCTCACTTTTTTGCCCTAGATTGCACCTCCGCTATCTTCTGTTCTCAATCCAAGTAAAAACCTTCCTGACTCTATTTCGACCCACTTTACGTCGGTATAAACAGAAGGCCTTTTGATTCGACCCCTTCGAGTCCCTTTCAAGTTATTATGGTGAAAGGAATCTACCCATGTTTTTCCATCAAAATCTTTATTCGCTCCTCCACTATCTTTTTGACAAATTTTGGCATCTTCACCACAAAAAATGTTAAGAAAAAGAAATCGTACTTTGCTATTTTCCCACTTAGTGACGTTCAAAAAGCATAATAAAGACAGGCTTGAAATTTATAAAAAGTGTGTCTATCCTATTATACCTTTATGACATGTGTCATGGAATAGCAACATCCACTACGAGCTGGAGGCATTGTCAAAAGGTTTTCCCGTCAATTTTCTTAACCGTCCGTCTTGTTCCAAGTGCGGTGTTAGCAATTCATTGGACAATGTATGGGAGTACACTTGAAAAAGCAATACATTAATCAATGCTCATTTTTAAATTGACTCTTCAATGTTAAGAAATGAAGTTTAAGGAGAGCAAGGATTCTGTCCGTCTCACCTGGGCCAAGCCAACTCTAAATAACCATAAGTGGTAAATAATTGAGGATGCATCTACTTAGGTATAGCATCACAATTCATCAACTATCTGATGGGAGATTTGAGATGTAACAAACTTTCCAACTTAAACCAATGACACCCTTATCAAAGTTGGCCATATCGGCCAGCAACACTCCCCATATTCGATGTGTGGTTGATATATACTTACCCCCTCCACCATGTTAATAGCTCGCGAGCAGCCACACTTTGTCCAAATGAGGGGTTAGAGCCCCTATCTACAGCCAAATTTGTGTATCAAATGGGATTGTTTGAAAGCATATCCTGTTGGAGAAAGGATTTGATTTGATCCTTTGACTCCACTAATTGATTCAGACAATCGGCACAATCGGCATTAAGGAATATTGATGGAATATTCAGAAGATTAAATAGGAAAATGACATCATGTTTATTTATTTCCTGATTGCTTATTGTACTATAAATACAGCCATGTACATGTACAAATACATATTGAGAAATACAAATTTTATATTACTCCTCTTCAATTTCTGTCATGGTATCGGAGCAGTACTTCCTGGTCTAACTTTCGCTACCTTAGAATTGCCTCCGGTTGGTTTCTGACTTGTTGTTGCGATCCCAATTCTGCAAAACAAATCAGCACCCGAGTAGGAATTCAATTTTTTTTTATATCATACCGAATACCGACAATTCTTCAATGGAGGAAACCCCTAACTCGACTCAACATCAAGATTCAGATCTGGTTGATCCGAATGAAGAGGAGCGGTCTTCTGCGCAGCACTCTGCCGGATCTGCTCCTGCTCCTGTTCAATCTGCTCCTGTTCCAGTTCAGATTCCTAGTTCAACCCAGTGGCCTCCAGTTCATTGGTATCCTATTCAAGGACAATGGGCCATCGGGCCAAGTCAGACAAGGGCACAACATGGTCCACTTGGAGAGGATGGCATTCCAGACCGTGGAACTCCCCTTCCGCAGGAGACCAATTCGAATGGAGGACCGGGTTGGACAGCCCCGAATCACGGACCCGGATCCTTTACACCGGGTTTAGGGACGAATCCCTACCCGGCTTTCCAACCCGGATTTCTGCCCTACTCGTTTCCAGTCAGCAGCGGCCGCCCCGAGCCCGGCGACACCCTCTATACGTCACCGGCCGACGAACCAGAGCTGCGGCTCATCAACCTACAGCTCACCGGACCGGACAACTACAACACTTGGGCTCGGGACTTCCGACGAGCTCTTGTTACGAAAGACAAGGACGGCTTCCTCGACGGAGCCATCACTTTTCCGACCGAAGAACGACTCCAACGGCATTGGCGGAAGTGCAATCAGTTGGTTCGCACTTGGATCGGAAATTGCCTCGCTTCCGACGTCGCGGCCGGACTCCCACCAACCGAGGATTCGAAGGTAATGTGGGAGAACATCCGTGAAATGTATGGGCGCCTTGACCGAGCGAAGCTATTTACAATCACTCAAGCCTTGTCGGAATTGAAGCAAGGGAACCTTTCGGTCACTGCTTGCTTCAACCGACTCTCGGCTCTGTGGAACGAGCTCGAGGCGGCCGAGGAACAGTTGGAGGGACCCGAGGCTACACTCCGACAATATCGAGCAATGAAGGACAGGGAGAAAGTAACACGATTCTTACTCATTCTGAATGAAACATACTCACATTTTAGGTCGCAGATATTGGCGATGGAGCCAATGCCACCGCTCGGCCGGATCTATCAACTGGCCGTCCAAGAGGAGAGCCAGCGACTGGCCACAGCTGAGCACGGACGAGTTGAGAGCATCACTCTCACAGCACCATCGGAACCACCATATCGGAGCGTTACAAGCATCGTCGGAAGCCATGGGAGTGTTCCACCTTTGGGGCTTCATCAAGCGGCGTGGAGTAGAAAAGAAGAGGAGAACCCTAGAAGTTCTTTTCGAACGGACGGTCAAGATCAAAAGGTTGGATCCAACGGCCATCATTTGATCAGTCACTTGAGCGAATCGAATGGCTATTATCAGGCCACGTCAGCCCCTGCTTTCAAGCTATCTCATGGCCCACGAAGTGCCACATCATCACAAAGAGGAAGTGGACCAAATTCCAAAAATAAAGGTAAATACTGTGAATATTGCAAGCGCTCATATCACACTATTGATACGTGCTGGAAATTGCATGGAAAACCAAATGACAAAGAAAAAAAGGAGAAAGATTTTTCAGCTTACCAAGTTTTGGCACAAGGGACTGAAAGGGCAAATCAGACCATTACTCATGATCAGTATCAACATATTATGAGGACTCGAATCAATTAAAGAATACCGACAAAAGTGCAAGTTTTTCGGTATTTCTTTCTGCAATAACAATGTTGTTTCGGTTGATGCATGGATAATTGATTCAGGCGCTAGTGACCATATAATCTGTGATGAACACATTTTTTCTGATGTTCACAAGAAAATTCATTCTTCTGTGACTGTTCGTCTTCCCAATGGTACCATCACTCATGTTACCAAAATTGGAACCGTCCATCTTAGTCCAAACATTATCCTAAAAATGTCCTCTACATTCCTGAATTTGAATTCAATCTCATATCTGTTTCTAAGATTTGTGAAGACAACTCTTGTCGCGTCATATTCAATTCAGAAAATTGCTTCTTTCAGGACCATTCGACTGGCAAACTGATGGGCTTGGGTAGTGTTGCGCAAGGACTATATTTTTGGATAAGCTTTCGAAAGGATTTTGATTTATCAAAAGGCATTTCATGTAATGCTACCACTAGCAATAAAAATTTTCTTTCTCATCGGCGTTTGGGTCATAGTGCTCGTTTTCCTTATCCAAACTGTACAATCTGCCCTTTGGCAAAGCAATCACGAGCACCGTTTCCAAAAAGCACATCTCGAGCTACTAGTATTTTTTCTCCAATTCATGTAGACATCTGGGGTCCCTATCACATTCCACATCATGATGGGTCTTGGTATTTTCTAACAATTGTCGATGATTATACTCGCGCTACTTGGGTGTTCCTCATGCAATCCAAGAACCAAACCTTTTCCAATCTGTCGAATTTCTTTTCCTTGATCAAGAATCAATTCCATAAATCCATTCAAAGAATTCGCACAGACAATGGGCGTGAATTTTTCACTACAGAGTGCAAATCTTTTCTTGCTTCTCATGGGATACTTCACGAAAGCTCTTGCACATACACTCCCCAACAAAATGGGATTGTAGAACGTAAACATCGCCATCTCTTAGAAGTAGCTCGAGCACTTAAATACCAAGCCTCCATTCCTGAAACCTTTTGGGGAGATTGTGTGGTTACAGCGGCCTATTTGATCAATCGCATGCCAACTCGAATTCTTGAAGGACGAACTCCTTTTGAGATGCTCTTTGGGAAACAACCAGAGATTGGACATCTAAGAGTATTTGGCTGTTTATGTTATGCGACGACTGTGGGCCCTCGGGACAAAATGGATCCTTGTGCCCTCCGATGTGTTTTCATGGGATATCCTCCTCTACAGAAAGGATACAGGGTTATGGAGATATCTACAGGTCGCTTCTTTGTTAGCCGAGATGTTGTTTTTTATGAAGATATATTTCCGTTCGAGGATTTGACATCTTCATCTCATACGTTTATATCGGAGCCAAATCATCGTCAGTTCTTATCAGAAGAAGATTTATCTGCAACCCCACAATACATCTTCGTTCCACCGATTCAGATGTCAACAATTCCTGAATCATCAAACCAAGCAGTCGATTCCCCAGTAGCTTTACATGAGGAGGACACTTCATCTGCTCCGCTTGCACAGCCACATATTGAATCTTCTTTATCACCCCTGGAACGATCGATTGCCGAGCAACCCCGACGCTCGAGACGTCCTGTTCGTCCACCTACATGGACTAAAGACTATATATGCCCTACATTGGAGTCTCAAGGTACACATTATCCTGTTTCTTCATACGTCTCTTTTAGTCGACTGTCACCAGAGCACATGTGCTGTATTAGTCGCATATCTGAAGAGCAGGAACCAACTTCTTATGAAGAAGCGGCACGTGACCTACGCTGGCAACAGGCTATGAAGGTCGAACTAGATGCCCTTATTAAAAATCATACTTGGGACATAGTTCCATTGCCTTCACATAGGAAATCAATTGGCTGCAAATGGGTATATAAAATCAAATACAAGGCAGATGGTTCAGTTGAACGCTACAAGGCTCAACTAGTTGCGAAAGGATTCACACAACGGGAAGGTTTTGACTATCATGAAACATTTTCTCCCGTTGCCAAAGAGGTGACTGTGCGTTCTTTTCTATCCATTGCTGCATTTCGTAATTGGCAGTTGCATCAAATGGACGTTCATAATGCTTTCCTTCATGGTGATCTAGACGAAGAAATCTACATGGAACTTCCACAGGGTTTACGACGACAGGGGGAGTCTCGGGTATGTCGTCTTCGTAAATCCCTATATGGACTTAAGCAGGCTTCTCGACAGTGGTATGCAAAATTCACCAATGCACTCATGCATGCGGGCTTTAAGCACTCCAAGCATGACTATGCTTTATTCACATGGACCAAAGGTGCTTCATCAATTTATTTGTTAATATATGTTGATGACATACTCATTATGGGAAATGATGATTCTGCCATTAGAAATTTCGAGGATTATCTGCATTCTACTTTCCATATCAAAGATTTGGGACCTCCCAAATATTTCCTTGGTATTGAGATAGCTCGATCGGACAAAGGAATATCACTCAGTCAGCGGAAATTCGTTTTGGAAATCATATCAGAAGCAGGATTATCAGGATGTAGGCCGGCTGTCATTCCTATTGAACAGAATGTCAAGCTTACAACGCTTGAATATGATACGAGTTTATCATCGTCTAATGAGGATCCATTGCTTAAAGACCCATCAGGATATCAGCGACTTGTGGGAAAATTAATATATCTCACCATGACTAGACCTGATATATGTTATGCAGTGCAGATACTCAGCCAATTCATGCATAGTCCGAAGCAGTCCCATATGACAGCAGCATTGAAGGTTGTAAAGTATTTGAAGGGATGCCCAGGACTTGGAATTCTCTTATCTTGTGATTGCAACATGAAGATGACAGCTTATTGTGATACGGATTACGCTACTTGCCCGATGACCAGAAGATCTATCACAGGCTTTTGCATTAAATTGGGAAGATCCTTGATTTCATGGAAGACAAAGAAGCAATCAACCGTCTCATTGTCATCAGCCGAATCTGAATATCGAGCTATGGCAAAAACTGTTTGTGAAATAGTTTGGATACGGGGTTTGCTTTCGGACCTTGGGGTACAAATTGATGGAGCAAGCAAACTATTTTGTGACAATGATGCTGCACTTAAACTAGTAGCAAATCCAATCTTTCATGAAAGGACGAAACATATAGAAGTTGATTGCCACTTCACTCGTGAAAAAATTCAAGAAGGAACTATCATAACTCGAGGAATTGGAACTGCGGAACAACCTGCAGATATTTTCACTAAGCCGTTATGCCAAAGACAACATGCATATCTGTTGAGCAAGCTTGGCGTCTTCGACATATATAAGCCGTCGGCTTGAGGGGGAGTGTTGGAAAAAGGATTTGATTTGATCCTTTGACTCCACTAATTGATTCAGACAATCGGCACAATCGGCATTAAGGAATATTTATGGAATATTCAAAAGATTAAATAGGAAAATGACATCATGTTTATTTATTTCCTGATTGCTTATTGTACTATAAATACAGCCATGTACATGTACAAATACATATTGAGAAATACAAATTTTATATTCCTCCTCTTCAATTTCTGTCATATCCCTAATGATGTAAAGCAAAGGAAAATTATGCGAAGGATAAGAATAATGATGGAAATTGAAAATACAACACCGAGAATCGCAATATGGGCCTAGAACTACACAAACTAGGCTTGTGCTTGGCCCGATGCTATGAAGGCCCACGTTGAATAGGGCGACCCAGTGCCTATGGCTCAATCACGCAGTGGGCACATGCAGCCTAGCCCATGGCCATGCCTTAGTTGGACGACCGTTGTGACTACCATGTGGCAATCGCCCATTAGCAGTGTCACCACTATCAACCATCAATAATTTGTCTTCAATAGAACTAAAGAATATATTTTTTTTTTAAAATCGAACCCAACTTTGATCTCTCATAATTGTTTTGTTTGATTTCTAATTGACCTCATTTTTCGCATCCATTCGTGGCATGAACTTTGTGAAAATGAAGTTTGATCTTTGAAAAGTTATATCAAGAATGTGAATTTTTCAAAAATCTAGCCAAATGGATGGTCGAGATAATGTGATGCTTAATTATGAAAACTTAGATAATCATACCTGGGAGGCACTTACATTATGCTAATCATTATACTTTGAATGATTTTTAAAGCAATAAATAATTATGTATATGTATCATTCCATCAATCATTTACTTATAATTCAATATTCTATTTATTAAGCATATAATATGTGGTTGTTTCCAAGTAATTATGATCGGGGTATCATTATATAATTAATATAAGCAAATTAAGTTACATTTGATATAAATTTGAAGTATATTCAATGTAATATAATATTTTTAGAGTGAGTGCGAAGAAAGAGACGTGAGACTTATCTAATCTATTACAGCTGTAACAAAAGATGACACTATAACAGTTGTTACTGGAAGCAAACATTAGAACATATAGTAAAGGAAAGGATCATTTCCTCGAGCTTAGATGATTTAACATATAGTAGTCCCTAACATTTTTCAAAATACGGGCGCCGCAGGGTGACTTAACCGATGCACGTGTGTGGTGGCTAGCATGTGTCGCCCCCAGGGTTTACCTCCCAGCTGTCGGTCGTGCGGGGGTTCCCTGGGTTACCAAAAAAAAAAAAACATTTTTCAAAATAAATAAAAATCAATCCTCCTGTAGTTTCATCGAACCTTTTCCCAATGGACACCTGTCAAACGTCTCCCATCACCAAGCTATCCTCACCAGCGGTGACGTGGACACGACCAAAGTGCCAAGTCGCTGTGGGCCCCACAGCTTTGAGTGATTAGGATGTCAGCCATGCTCTATCATTCATTCATTCATTCATTCGTTGGGTGGATGTGTGTATCTGGATTCACCGCTACCAAAATGATCTATTACGGCCCCATACATTGCTCAACAGGGATGATGACGTGGACAGAAGCAAGTGCCAAGTCAATGTGGGGCCCAGCTGCGGGCCCCACGGCGGGATTGAATGATTAACATGCCATCAGGGTCAATTCCTTTGGATGGATTGGATTCACCACCATACTCCCTATTAATGGAGTGCCAACATGGAGACCCCACCACCTACAAGCAAAAAAGGAGAAAAATCGGAGTTGTTTTGTCAATTTTCGGAGTAGGCTTGCCCTCAACATGAGCTGTATAGGGTGTATCACGGGCTGTCTTTGTCCTAATAATGCGTGCTTACGTCAAGACAAAACCCTAAGCTAGAGATCACACCCTACCCTAATGTAGGAAATTATGCGCAGATTATTCTTGTTCTCGAAATTTTTTACTTTACTTCGAGTCACTTCACTCCATTTATATATATCAAAATTACGATTTGATTGAAAATGTACTATTAAATTGAAAATTTTTAAGTAAAAAGTCAAGTTCTAGATGAGTGGCGTGTGGCCGAAGTTAAATGATAGACGGACCATGGAAAAAAAAGGTCATCGATGCATTGGCTTGTAGAATGAAAAGAAATCAATCAAATTGATAGCACAATCACAATTTGTGAATATAGTCATGGTTATTTACATGAAATTATAAAGAACCAAGTGGATGACTATGGATATAGCTTTCCTAGGCTATAGAGATCAGCTGATAGGAACTTCATAAAACATCAAGATAGATAAATTTATGGAAACTTGGGTCATTATGATATAAGGCACGGTTTAAAGACCTGCGTCATCGCCCTCTTTTTTAGCTAGATTCCAATAACACTGCAGGTAACCCCAAGATTAGCACAGTTGATTGTGGCGTTGGGAATTTTCAATTTCGTAATCGAAGGCCATATGACAAATCCAACCAACTGCGTGTGAATTGCTCTATGTCATAGCCACTTGCAAAAGATAAAGGCATAGACTTAATCGGCTTATAGGACTGGCATGGTGTCTCTTGGAGATTTCAGTTAGCCAAGTCTCTCCGAACGAGTCTTTGGATTATAAAAGAAGAACATTAATACAGCAACAATTTCTAGACTTTTTCGTTGGGAGTTAGCCTTCTCCTAACTTGAAAACCCGCCTTGTCCTGGAAGCCACGGATCTTATATTGCATCACCATCAAATGAGTCAAAAAGGCTAATTAGTATAATCGCTTGAATTACCATAGGAGCCTTCATCTAGAGAATTATCTTTTAGATGAATTGAATTTTCTGCAAATAATAGAGCATGACAAAAGTTATAAATAAAAACCCCTCTAAGTGTGTGTGTGTGTCTCTCTCTCTCTCTCTCTATATATATATATATATATATGTTTCCTTTTAACTTTGTTTTATTATAACTATTATTGTTAGACGTTGTAATGAATTAATATCCTCACTGTTTAGTAATATGTTACAAGACATTGTTAATCGTTTCTTTAAATGATTATATTTTTGAGAAAAATAGTTTGTCTAACATGATAGCAGGGAAGAAGCAAGTACGAAAAAAGTATGAAGAAAAGTGCTCCCCCTATACTCCATGAAAACGAAATGCTGAAAGTATCCCTATGGAGCTCCCAGTCTCCTGAGATGACTACTCCTCCAAAAAGTTTGAAAATGGTGGAAGATAAAACTGCAATGGAGGGAACAGTTTTGCAATCTAACCTAAGGCACTGTTTATTTCGTGAAAAATGAATTATTTACAAAATATTTTCTTAAAAATGATCGCTTATATGAATTACAATAATGATTCAACGAAAGACTCGTGGCATGTCAAGCTATGATAAGGTTCTTCACTTTGCATCGAATTAAACCACATGCTCCACCGCTTGTGCGGGCTCCCATCAATTCCTTTGAGTTTCATCCTTGCAAATGTACTCCCGAAGTGGGATACTTAACGCGATAACTTTAAAATGAGTCTAATCTCACTTTTTAGACTTTTCGTAATTATACCTTCGATAAAATAATAAAAGATCAAAAATAGCATATTAGCACATCTCACTGAACTTCGGTTTGATCCACTTTCCTTGTGTTACCCTGAAATCATCCATTTCTTCTATTAATAACCACCTCACTTCGTGCGCGCACAGCTATAAAAATTTACTCAGTTGCCCTTCAAATTTTTACAATGTCTAACACTCGATCATTTAGAAGTGGGGGCAATAATGGAAGCAAAAAAGCGAGAGACCAACTTCCACACTTCTCTCTTAATATTAGAAGGTATAGATAAGAGATACAAGGAGGAACAAATGGAGCCACGAAAGAGTAAAGAGGCCCTTGCCATACTAATTACCTAGTTTTCATAAAATTGAGGGGGAAAAAAAGACAAATTGGATGTGATAGGTTAGGCTACTCAACATTAGTAAGCCAATTTTTGAAAACTAGTCTCACGATTTATTTTATGTAAAACATAAAATTACATACTGATTTGAGCATTGAGTTTTAGTTTTGAATGTTTTTTATTATCTTCATTGACATTTAATTGAGTTTGGCCTAAAAAATTTTTATTTGAATTATCCGACGACACCTGTATCGATCAATATTGTTGACACCTAAATTTTGGCGTATCATTTAGTGTAATTTGCATAGAAAATTAGGGATTAAATTTTTAACCCCTAAACAAAAATATTTAAATTATATAAACATATAGTTTAGGTCCATTTAATTTAATTGCATTTTGCATCGGACCGGCGGTGACGAACGAGCTTAAATTTCATCGAATGGGACTCGGCTCGCTCGGAAGGCAAGGGCCGGGAATTACAAGTCAAACGGGCTCGGTTGTTTTAATTTGAGCTTAATTCAGCCCATTATCCTTAATTAATTTAGCCCATTTAAATTAAATTAAAATCTAAGCCCAAGCCTAAGCCCATTAGGACTAGAGAGCCCATCTAATTGACCTAGATTAGTGTTATATATACATCATTAGGTCAGGATTTTGTGGAGCTCTCATAATTTTCAGAACACAATCCCTGAGGCACCCAATTCATACACACGGAGAGAGAGAAGCAGAGGAGTCGTGTGGCCATTAGAGAGAAATCGTGAGGGAGGCCACACGTATTGAAAGACAACCACAAAGGAAGTAGAGAGTGAGAGAAGCGCCAGCGCCATCAATTCCAGAGAGCTTGGCAATGTTCAGCAACTCTTGTTGCTGTCCAACACTTGCATGGTCCTTGCCTGGACGAGTGGCAATTCTATTTTGACTCCCTAATTCTCCTGTCAGAAACAGCCACTTGCCTTAGTCCTTGCAGCAAATTCAGAATTTCTAGCACCGAGCCAGCAATCAACTAGTGATTGTCGACGCACTTATCGGATCATATCAGCATCTTGTCGGTGTCGCGCTTGGAGTACCCTCGGTCACGTCCAGCTCGCAGCATTGACGTCAAGCACCTCGCGCCTCAGGCCTG